AAATTTGTTAAACTTGTCATTTAGTTCAAATAAATTTTGTCACCAGGGACCTATATCCTAAGACCCCTATATTTACATCATTTTGATTTATTATATTTTAAATAACTTAATTGTAAAAAATACAGGGTATTTTTATTTATCAATTTACTAAACAAACAAAAAAAAATAGTTATGGATGGCAATAATTATACAACAAAAAAAGCAAAAACAAAATAAAAAATTGATAAAGATAAATATGATAATTAATGTGATTACATCGAAAATCAAGTCCTAATTCATTAATGGATTCGAAAACTCAAAAAAAATTAAAACAATTGTAAAATTGTGTATGCTACCTCCATGAGTCTCTACAAAAAAATTAGCACGTTGTGACTTGTGACTATTATATTCATGGATTTAATAACATTATTGGCTCGGTTCGGTGGCATACATGATAACCACGCCGTCGTTGAGTTTTTCATTGTGAGCAACAATCTTTGCTATCATTGCAATTTGACGTTTTAATTATTCCGATGTTACCGCATGTTATATACACCGATATGATATCTATGTGTATTCAACATCAATCAAATAAAAAATAAATAATTCAAATGAAACCAATGGAAACAAATAAGATGATCAAAGGAAACTATTAAAAGTCATTTATAAACTAATACAAAGATACGGGCAACTAATAACAAAAAATTGAATACAAAAATGAAGAAAAAAAAAGTGAAATATCAAGAATAACATAAAAACAAAAATAAGAACATATAAAAGTGTATACCAATAAAAAATAAGAACAATGGAATGCCAAAATATTAAGCAAAGAACAATACATTGAAAACAAACAATAATGAATAATAATGAAAAAATAATATCAAGAATGACAAAATAACAACTAATAATGAAAAATTAATATCAAGAATGACAAAATAACAACGAAATCATCAAGAACAACTAAGCGTTCAAATGAAATAAAATATGGTGGAATAAAAAATGTAAACAAAGCAAACAACATAAATAAAATGAATCAGAAATTTAACGTACACAAATTTGTTGACGAATTTTCACCATAAACAAAATATGATTTAACAAAATAAAGTTGAACCGTATCGAAAGACATAAAAATACCATATTATAAAGGATACAATTTTTGAATTACGTTGTGTCTATTACACGCACCTTGATGATATCCATATATCTACAACATCAAAGGAGCAAACAACAAAACATTATAATAAAAACTATCAAAAAACATAAGACAATGCAAAAAAAAACATTAGCAAAATAACAATGTCAACATCTATATAACACGAAGATCAAATGATAATATGTGACAATATCAATAAAAAATAGCAACCAATAAAGGAAAAAAAATACAACAAACGAATAACATTGACAACATTATCAAAACGAATAATATAATGACGACCCAAATATTTAATAGAATGAGAGGATATATCAAACGAAAATAACAACGGTGAATTACAACCAATATCAAAAAGAACAACATAATAATAATAGAAGAATAACAAATAACATTGTAAAAAATATCAATATTAACAACATAATAATATTAGAAGGAAGATAAATATTTAATAGACTGAGAAAATCAAACAAAAATAGCAACGACGAAAAAAAAACTTGCAAACAATAGTGTGGTTTGGTGCGCCGGTGATGTGAATGAATGCAAATGATGCAGTATTTATAGTGTTTTGGATAAAATGTAAGAAGATCTTTGTAGATTTAGATAAATTAGGCTATTATATTCACATTAATATTAATATAATTAGATAATTAATGGAGATTTTTTTACGGATTGATTGATGATTTGCTTATGGTTAAATCAATAAAAAAATTGTGGTTTTATGTAATATATAATCAATGTCAGTTGTAGCATAATCATCAAATTCCTAAAAAATAGATATATTAAAAAATTGGATAATTACGTTCCATATTTAACGAATGTGAGAAAATATTAAACAAAAATAGATTGAATTGGACCTTAAATGTTAATTAAATTATTACCATAAATTAGAACATTAATAGAAAGAAAATAAAATAAAATAATTATCAGAATTTTGAAAAAATATGTTAGATTTCAAAAATAAAATAGGGTTGGAATGAAAAAAAATCACGTAAATGATATTTAAAGTAATCCAAAAGTCTTAATTAATATACAAATTAGCTTCATATTAATATTCCGTGAAAATAGTCCTTGGATGCAATTAAATAATTGCCTTAATTATATTAATCATTAAATAATTAGCTTTTAATTAGCTTCATATTAAAATATATTAAATATATAAGTAATATATTTCCCTTAAATAATTGATATGTATTGGCATAAATATTGGAAGCCATAAATAGTAAAATTAGGATATAAGTTATATTAGGATATAAGATATTTGATAATTTATTCAAATGAATTAAATTGATATTGACACATGGACGATGAATAGGATTCCTACATGGATGCTTACATGTATGACACATGTCGTAATTCTAGGGTATGAGGGTTTCAATTTATATATTATATAGATTCGGACCCAAAAAATTAATCCATGCATTTGTGCTAGCTTTCGAGATTATTCTCATATCTTGGTTTTAAGAGAACAAAATATAAATGATACTTATGCAAAAACATAATAAAAAGTAAATAATGAACAAAGAAAAAAGGAATCATATATAATTTTCAATTTCATTTTATTACATAAACCCCACCTTAATATAAAAAAAAAAAAAAAAAAAAAAAAAACTCAATAATTAAAATTCATTTGTTGAACATTCCAGAAGCAATTAATAATACAGATCAATTTGTATATTTAAAAGTACATCTCTTCGTGAAAAGATATAGCCAATTAAGAGTAAGATGGAAATCCAATGTCTAAAGTCAACGTCTCCACGAAAATGCATCATTTGGATGAATAGAATTTATGTCGATAGATCAAAATTTGAATTATTTTGTTAATACACATAATCAGTCCAGTATGATTTAAATGAGGCAAAAAAATACATAGCTATAAATTCACATTTAAATACTATTGTAGATAAAATAAATTATACTTTGGATGCTTATAAACTGCAATCGCATTTAATACAGATGACAGCAATTCAGGTAAAGTTGAATTAAGCCCGCATGGGTGTAGCTCAACTGGTTCCGGAGGTGATAAAGTTGGTGCAAGGTCCTAGGATCGAATCCTGACAGCCGCAGTGTGGGAATTTCAACTCCAAATGAGGATTGGTTCCTTGTGGGCACTAGATCCGGGGCCGCTACCTTAACGGGCCGTTGAGTTACCATGATTTACATCCTCCATCAATCCTTGTCGGGCCAAGGGATGGGGGCCCGGCCCTGGGGACGAGGGATTCGGGTGCAAGGTAAAGTTGAATTAATAATAAAAAATAAAATAAAAATCTGGGACCAAAAGATTTCCCACGTGTGCCTTTATTAATATAATTAATATTAGTATTAGAAAATGTTAATTCATCTTTTATGGATTGATTTGTAGTCATTAGTTAACCCAAGGGGCAGTGAGTTTAAAACAAAAAAAGAAATCGAAGAATTAGGTATATCAATTAATTAAGAGTAACATAGCTACTTTCTCTCTCTCAACTTTTTTAATTTAATTAATTAAATCAGTGTCACATCTTTAAAATTGTATTTTAACTTTTTTTTATTAATTGATAAGAAAATCAGGTTGATATTGTGCAATGTGCAATATGCCATCTGGCCCTGCCGACCCTAGTAAATGAATTCAATTAATTATTATTGTTTGTCTCCACCTACTAAGGCCAACTTGCGTATTATTTAGTGCATTATTCTATTTATTAACATTTGCATACTACATATAGACATAATATTTGCAATTTAGTAATAATATTTTTTATATAGGTTTTCATGAATGAGTTTGTCTGTTTCATTATTAGTCATCACTTGTAAAATTAATCACTTAGGAAGAAGCTTCGACTACCAGAAGGGGTCGTGGCCCCCCTAATAATTCTCGATTTTATTTTTTTATGCGAAAACTTAAAAAAATTGTCTCAAAAGCATCATTTGCCTCTCCGCTCATCAAAGTTTTAATGTATTCGACCTACGATTCGTGAACTTAAAATTCTGACTTCAGTAGTAGAGTTATGTCTGGTGTGTCTAATTTAAATAATTGTATAGATTATAAATTATTATAATTAAAGAAAAATGTAAACTTATCTAGTCCACATGTTAGTTTATTGAGAAATCAGATTAAAAAATGAATATATTGTAAATCAGAACAGTGGTTCCCTTTTATTCGGGACATTGTAAAAACAGCCAGCTGGACAAGACGATAGAATTTTTTAATTCGTGCACCATGTGCTTATTTGTTTGTATATATAATATTTAAATGATTCATCGAGATTTCCACCAACAATTCAATATACAACATACTTAAAGAAATCATTTCTTAAAGGGCCGCTTTTCAAGAAAGATGAAGGATTGACTGGTTAGTCCCACCTAATCACACTCCTCAGGTGTAAACGAGCCGAGATCTTCGAACTCGAATTCGATTTTTTCAAGCTCGAATTTTCTGACGAGGCAAAACCGAGCTCATTTTGTTCGTGAGCTCATTTTTCGAGATCGACTTTTTTTTTTTTTTTAAATATAATTAATATAAAATAAATAATTAATTCATACAATATAATAATAAATTTCTAATAATATTAATAATAATTTAAAAAAAAAACACAAAATGGGTCAGGCTCGAGCTCGACGTCAAAATGGATGCGAGCTCGCCAAAACATGATTCATTTCTGTTGGATGTCGAGTCCCTTCCTCACCCAAGAACAAACGTAGAATTGCTATCGGAAAAAAAAGAAAATTTGGGGAAGATTTATTCTTACAGCGATTTGTGAAGAAGACGTGAATTCAGAGGGTAAAAAGATAATTTCACGAACCACCAATCAAAAGAATCTTTGAAACTTAACATGAGATACGAAAGGATTAATGGATAGTCGATTGTGCTAGTCGAGAAAAGATATTCATCTAGATGAAATTGATATTTTTTTTTACGTGCAATAACTTGTAAATTACATGAACAGATTCGAACTCGAGTCATTTGACTTCGGTTTCTTTCAATACATCTTTGACTATGTCTCGATTATCTCCCTCTCTCGTAAACATAAACAAACATTATTTTAATTATCAAAATCCTCTCTCAAAAACACTGGAAATCTCGAAAATTAAAACAGAAATATATCCTCAAAGTGTAACCAAACATACCAATAAAAATGATCAAGTGGCAAAACTTAAACAAGTACCTGTAACGGAGCCAACGCTGACATGGCGCTTTTGTCTTCCGATGAAGCCTGGTCGATCGATAGAGCTGTTGCTTCTGTTTTGTCTCTTGACTGATCCAATTAGTAGTTTTTCGCTTAGTTCCTGCAATAAAAACTCATCTTTGTTCTGTAAAAGCACATCATTCACCAAATGCGCGCTTTCTTGATTTCTTTTTACCATTTCTTGCAACTATTCAAGTTCTCGACCATCAAACTATTATAATAACGTCAAATTCCCATTTCTTAACATGGCAAAAGAAATTCAAATATTTTCTAATAACTAACATTTGCTTGTCGGGTATTAGTTTCTTTTGCTACCAAACGAACAATACGCAGCATAAATCAATGGAATTTACTTTACCTTGTAAAAAACGAAGACCGAATTCAGCTTCACGACTTTTTAATAATGCAGCTCCATTCCAAAGAGGGGATGTCTCACTTACTGCAACTCAAATTCCTTTCCTCTGACAACATCGTAAAATCAAAAAAATCAAACATAGAATCTTGAAAACAAACTTCAAAATATGCAAGGGGAAAAAAAATGAAAATCTGCAACATACATCTTTTGTAATGCAAAGAGAGCTTCAGGGTTTTCACACGCTACACAATCGATATCTTTCATGTGTTTACTCAACCCCACAAGCAGAACGAAAATTTCATCCGCTTGTTCGTTCGAGCTATCTTCAACCAAGAACGGAGAAAATCCAGCACCGATATCAATCCAAGCACAACCAGGTTCTTTCCTCACGCCCAAATCCCGCATAAAAGTCCTCACTTTCGCCAGTTTGGTCCAGCAACCAGCGGCAGCATACATATTCGCTATCAAAACATAGTATCCCGAATTCTTCGGCTTCATTTCTAGAAGCTTCTCAGCCGCCCATTCCCCAATCTCCGTATTCCCGTGGACCCTACATGATCCTATAAGCGTGGCCCACATTTCGGGCGTCGGATCATAAGGCATCTTTAATAGAATCTCTTTTGCCTTGTTCAACAAGCCAGCTCTCCCGTAAAGATCAACCATGCATGCAAAATGCTCCAAAGCTGGATTCACACAGTAAACGCTCATCATCTTTTCGAATAATAACTTGCCTTGAAGAACAAGACCCGAGTGACTACAAGCAGACAAAATAGCGACCATTGCTACGTGGTCGGGTTCTATTTTCGATTTTATCATTTCTTCGAATAGTTCAACGGCTACTCTGCCGCCTCCTTGTATGCCGTATCCACCTATTATCGAAGTGTAAGTCACTGTATCTCTTTTTTCCAGTGAATCGAATAATCGTCTAGCGATTAACACTCTGCCCGATCTTGAATACATATCAATAAGAGCGTTCCAAAGTAAGAGATGCCCGTGAAATTCTTCGTGCTTAACAATATATCCATGAAACTCCCTCCCATGTTGGAGATTCGCCACACGCGCGCAGAGGGGTAAAATGCCTGCAAGTGTCACGTGATTCGGTTTGATGTCTGTGAGAAACAGTTCTCGGAAGAGCAACGAGGATTCTTCGGACCTATCCCACTGTGCGAAACCGGATATGATCGAATTCCACGAAATTACGGTTTTACCCTCCACCAATCGGAAGACGATGTAAGCGTGCTTAAGGTCTCCACACCGAGAATACAACGTAATCAACGCGTTCTTCACATTATCGTAGTCGATTGAAGAGCTTCGAATCGCTAACCCGTGAATTTCTTTCCCCTGTTTCAGTGCGCAGATATGAGAGCACGCACCTAAGCCAATAATCACTGCCACGGGATCTAACTGATTGCCACTTATTCTCATCGTACAGATCAATTCAAGAGCACGTTCGAAATTGCCTGTCCTCAAACAACCTCCAGCAACAGTGTTCCAAATTATAATGTTCAATTTCACACCAGCTTCTTGCATACCTTCGAAAAGTTCAAAAGCCTGACCCCACATACCCCTGGAGGAATATGCCGAGATTATCGAGTTCCACGAAACTTCGTCTTTAACAAATATCTTGTCAAAAATACTCCGAGCAGTTTCCAAATCACCACACTTTCCGTACATAGAGACCAACGCATTCTGCACAAACAAGTCCGAGTTCATAGAGCTACTACCATTAATAGACTTATGAACCTCTCTCCCAAAATCAAGATTTGATTGCTCGGCACAAGCTTTGAGAACAGACGGGTAACTGAAACAATCGGGTATAATTCCCTTACAACGCATTTGCTTGTAGGTAAAGATAGCTTCCTCGTACCGCCCTTTACTCACATAAGACGAAATAATGACATTCCAGGGCAAAGGGTCCAGAATGCTTGAATCCGCAACTATGAAACGAGCATCGTCGACAAAATCAAAACTCGTGTAATAAGATACTAGTTTTCGGACCAACGCGTGACTTTTGTAAAGACCCCACGTAACAACTTGGGCATGGAGCTGTTTGCCTTGTGGAAGCAACTTCAGATTCGTACAAGACAACAGTAGAGAGGAAAACGAGTCTACCACAAAAACGGGAGATGCAGATGCTAAGGCATGACCTCGAATAATATAAAATATTCTAAAGGCTTTGAATAAATGACCTTGGCGGGCAAAATCTTTCAAGGCGGCGACAAGGCAATCCACCATAGAACTATCGGCTTTCTCGTCGAGCCGTATAATAGTTTCGTGCTTGATTTTTTTCGGGAGATCAAATGGTTTTTGTTTGATGGTTTCTTTCCATTTCATAGGAATGCATCTTTCGATTTGATAAACATCGAACTTACTACACATCTAGGCGCAGTAAACGTGCGATACTACGGCATGATTCACCCGTATGATTCATACCATCTGTAGAAGGACATAAGATATGATTTTAGAGTAAGAATTTAGGCATCATAATAAAGTCTATTTAATAGCTAAAATACTCTGGTAGAGACTGGTTACACAGTGAAATTTGTTTTTTTTTTTTCTAAATCGTGTTTTAATTGGATATTTTCTTTTTACCTAAACGCGGCTTTTATACAGTTTTTTTTTTTTTTTTTTTTTCTTCTTTTCTGCTGTAATTTTGATATAATCGTAAATAAATACAAAATATTGTTCCATTTGGGGGGAAAATTGAAAAAAAAAAAACTTACTCGAAATCGCGCCGTCGACCACCGTCGGCCGTGGTTTGTGTTTGTCGCCGGCATTAAACCCTTCTCTGGAATTATATGGGAGGATTTCTGGGCTGCGGATTCAAGCTACAATTTTTCTGGGCATAAAACCCTTCTCTGCTGACCTAATGGACAGAAGTCTTACACAAATCTGAATTGTGAAGAGTGGCTGGTGATGCTGCCGTGCTGGTTCTGTTGCAGGCGGCGAATGGCGGTGCCGGCTGTGGTTAACGATCGACTGCGAAAGATGAAGATGAGGGAAATCAGAAATGTGTGTGTGTGTTAATTCTTAAATGAAAATGGAATTACAAATAAAAATTGCGGTGATTTGTGGTAATTTTGAACTCTAGGGTTTCGGTTTTATCTACCTTCAGCAATTTATTCTCAATACGGCGTCGTTCTCTGACTATTTCGTGTAGAATTAGAAATCAGCGTACATCAATTCTCTCTCTCTCTCTCCCCTCTTTCATTACTTTATCAGTTATCTCAACTCCACCACCACCACACCTCCGAAAATGGCCGATTCGGCGCGCAAAATTGAATCAAAGTCTACGTTGATGAGTTAAAAAAAGATATTCTTTTGCGGAAGCCGGTTTTTGGATTTTAGTATGGATTTATCCGCCATTTTTTACAGCTCAAATATACTTCCAGTGATGGCGGCTATGGCAATTGGCAACCTGATTCGCGAAGAACAAGTTGACCGATCGTCGATTGGTTGAAGCAAACTGCCTCACCGGTACAAAAATTGATTCTGTTTTTCAATTACTCGATCTCATATTTTTCTTAAATTCTCATATATATATATATATATATATATATATATATATATATATATATATATATATATATATATATGTGTGTGTGTGTGTGTGTGTGTGTGTGTGTGTGTGTGTGTAAGGAGATTGAGCTCTTTGAGATGTTTACACTTGGGGTGTATTCAAATTATGAAAATACCCTCATGTTTGGGTAATTACAATCATCCCTCAACTATGAATCTTCTTACGTTCTTATGGTGTCAAATTCAATAGAATTTTTTAGATTCTATGGAATGTTCTCTAGTTTGTACTCGTTTTGTACGGAAATGCAGTTTTTGATGCACTACAATCTGGTAGGTATGTACAAGTCAAGAGACACATCTTACGATCATCTTGTTTCAAAATTTGGAGCTCGAATAAGGTAAAACGAGTACAAGTTGGAGAATATTCCACATATTCTAGAAGATTCCACTAAATCTGACACCGCAAGGGTGGACGTGTAAGAAGATTCATATTTGAAGGGCGTGGTTGTAATTACCCAAACAAAAGATTTTTTTTGTAATTTGACATTATCTCAGGGGTGGACGTAATTTACCCTTTATACTTTATTACTAGATTGGGGGTCGATTTATCAAACCATGATTGGGAGGTAATGATATTTCGATTTTGCTTCATAAATTGTTACTTACAGTAGAATCTCGATAAATTAATAACCTCGATTAAATAATTGTTTTTTCTGGTCCCGAATCGGTAAAAAAACCTACTAAATTGTCAGTTCGAAATTTAATATTTCGCTAAATTAATAGAATCTGTTAGTCCTTACTGTATTAATTTATTAATTTATAAAGGTTTAACTGCACTTGATTGTTGCTTACGCTTATTTATAATTTTTATTTTACTTACATGGAAAAGTACAGAAATGGAGTCTACCGGAAAACCTCATGCAGTTTGCATACCATTTCCATCACAAGGCCACATAAATCCCATGCTCAAATTAGCCACTCTTCTTCACCGAAAAGGCTTTCACATAACCTTCGTCCATACGCAGTACAACCGAACCCGCCTCCTCGAATCTCAGGGCGATGTTTCCCTGCCGGATTTCCAGATTGCCGCCATCTCCGACGGGCTCCCGCCGCCACCGGATGACGGGAATGCCGCCACGCAAGACATTAGGTCGTTGTGTTTGTCGACCCAAGTCAACTGCTTGGAACCGCTTAATGAACTCATCGATGGTTTAAACCACCGCTCCTCGTGTGTTGTGCCTCCGGTGAGTTGCGTAGTTTATGACATGATTATGAGTTTCGCTCTCGATGCGGCTGAGCGGATCGGTGTTCCTGGTGTGGTGCTGCAGACCGCCGGCGCTTGCAGCTTTATGTGTAATAAATACCTTACGCATCTTGTGGAGAAAGGATTTGTACCTCTCAAAGGTAAATTATACGTGTGTGTATATATATATATATATATATATATATATATATATATATATATATATATATATATATATTTATGTGTTTATTTACGGCGTTTAGGTGTAGAAATTGGAATCGAAATTTTGGTTTTCGTTGATTTTGGTCCAATTCCTGTTTTTTTTTTTCTCCGATTTTTGGACACAATCTCTTGTTCCAAATTTTGAAAGTGCCGATTTCAGGATTTTCCAATTATTTTCGAAACTTCCGATTTCTTTTTTGATTTTAATTTTCGGAACAAAATTTCTGATTTGTACCCGAAAATTACTCGTATAATATCAATATTATTTTGTACTTCAAAAAATGGATATTCTTGAATTCCGCCAATTTCGATCCGAAAATTTCCAGTTTTGGAACAAGTTTATTCATTCAAATTTCCGAAAAATTCCACTTTTGGAATTGGTTTTCTCGTTCGAAAAAAAATGATTTTTTTTCCCGCCCGGTTTCCACTCTTAGTTACATTAAACAATGAAATTTCTTGGTGCATGCAGATAAAAGCTGTATGACAAATGGTTATCTGGAGACTCAAATAGATTGGATTCCGGGAGTGATTCCTCTTAAACTCGGCGAGTTAACTCACACAATTCAAACAACAGATCCAAACGACCCCTTGCTAAACTTCGTCATCACTCAATTCGCCCGATCTTCAAAAGCAGCAGCCATAATCATCAACAGCTTCGACGCATTGGAGCAAAACGCACTTTCCTCTCTGTCCTCAATATGCCCGCCAATCTACACCGTGGGCCCGCTTCATCTCTTCCTCGATCAGCCACCGAAGAATCCGACCGCGAAATCAATGACGATCTCCAGCCTCTGGAAAGAAGACACCACGTGCCTAAAATGGCTCGATTCGAAACCCGAAAGATCGGTCATTTACGTAAATTTCGGAAGCATTGCAGTTCCGACACCTCAGCAAATGAGCGAGCTGGCGTGGGGGCTCGCCGGAAGCGAGGAGAATTTCTTGTGGGTAGTGAGGCCGGATTTGCTCCGGCGGGAGAACCCCGCCGCTCTGCCGCCGGAGTTCCGGGAGGAAACCGGGGAGAGGGGTTTTGTTTCCGGGTGGGGCCCGCAGGAGGAGGTGCTGCGCCACCCGGCGGTTGGAGGGTTCTTGACGCACTGCGGGTGGAACTCGGTGGTGGAGGGCGTGTCCGCTGGGGTTCCGATGATTTGTTGGCCGTTTTTCGCCGATCAGAGGATAAATTGTAGGTACGTATGTGACGAGTGGCGGGTTGGTGTCGAAATGAATCGGGATGTGGAGAGAGATGAAGTGGGAGTTCTTGTGAGAGAGTTGATGGGTAGGGAGAGGGGTGGCGCGTTGAGGAGAAGGGCTGAGGAGTGGAGGGAGAAGGCGGCAGCGGCGGCGGCGGCGGCGGTTGGTGGTGATGGTGGTGGTGGTTCGTCGTGGTTGAAGTTGGAGAGATTGGTTCATGAAGTTTTGATTGTTTGATATTTGCAATTTGGTGGTATTAATATGTTTCATTAGTGTAAATTACTAGTAATTTTTCAAGGTGCAAAGTGCTAATATGTTGTATTTAAAGGGTGCAAAATCATATTAATTAAACCAAAAAAATTTATACAGATAATTCTTTATATATTAATACAGAGTTGGGACTAGCCAAATTCGATTAACATGTTGCATTCAAGTCAGGATCGAGAAAACATATTATTTAAATGAGATTAGTAATACATCGAGGTTCTAGTGTATTTTTCTCATACTGGTCATGTACGAATCACTAATTTTTCCAGTATACAAAGACGATTAGTCATCGAAAATCAGAATTAATTTAGTCGAAAACAATCATACATGCATCTCTTGTGTGTGTGTATATATATATGCTCTTATTAAGTTATTTTCACTAAAAAATGAGAATAATCCATTACAATAGAACATCCATTCATAATAATTCTCAACATTATTCATTAGAAAAGAAAAAAAAGACAAATATATCTAAAATAATTATTATTATTCAAGAACGCTGAAACGAAAAAAGAAATTGCACCGAATCGTACATAGATTTTATTGTAATGGTGATGGTGAGGGCGACTGAGTTTGTTGAATATTCCAAATACTACAAATTCTCCGAAGCATAGCAGGATACCAAGGTTTCTTAGGATAAAGCTCTTTCCAACAATATGGTTCTACCGGTAATAAACGAGCGCAACAAGTTCGACTAACGGACCCCACTTGATCAGGGGATCTCCCCGAGTATTTCAAGTCTTCGAAGCAATCAATGTCGTCGCCCATGAACGGTATCATGCAATTAGGGATGTAACCCCAATCTATCATCCTTACTTCTTGATTACCATAATCTTCGTCACATAAAATAAGAGCGCTCGAGATTGAAACGACGAGAAAAATAAGTTGGAACGCGTTTATGTTTTTGTTTTGAGCCATATTTTGTTTTTTGGTTTGGTGTTAATTGTTAATTAAGACACTTAAATAAGTGAAAATGGAGTTTAATGAAGTGCTCTAATTGATTATGATTATTAATGGAACCTCAGGAAACTGAAGTTTGTAATTAAATTTAAAGGTAACCTCTTCAGTTTATGTTATAAAATTTAATTATGGGTTTTAAAATTTAGCACTTAATCCCTGTGGTTTGAACTTCTTGCATATAACTCCCTTAATCTTTGAATATAAGCACATGAACCCCTTGTACTTTCAAATCACATACCACTCATCAAGGGCCGATTGGGTTTTGGGGTTTTGGATTTCGAGTTTTCGGGGTTTCGGGTATTCGGGTTCGCTAAAAAAAAAAAAAGAAAAAGAAAATGTAGTTACAAAATTTGACTTTAGTTTTTGCATTCAAATTTCTAAGCCATGCAAAAAACATTTATATATAAAAACGAGTCAATGACATTGGCTGTGCTTTCTGCATCATCCAGCAACTTGCAAAATTCAATACGTCCAAAAAGTATTATGGCCATGTCTTTTATTTATTAATAATTTGTTCAAATTATTATAGTTTTTAAATTATTAAATTTATATAGTGATTTCTTATAAATTGATTTGTCTTTATTGTATTGCATGAAATTGTCTAATCACCATCTGCATCGGACTGGCAATTAAGATTGAGCTTGATAGATAGTATTCTAATTCAGACTTATCAAAACTACAAAAATAAAAATAAAATTAAGTATCATCGTTTCTGTATCCGTGCTACATAGCATCATAACATTTGTTTTTCGGGAAATAAATATTAGAGAATTTCAATTACAGATCACATCCAGTGGCGTATCTAGTGTGGTCCAAGGGTGTGCAGCTGCACACCCTTGATTTAAAAAAAAAAAAAAATTTCCTATATATGTACCTTTATATAACTGTAAATCTGTAATTTAAACATGTAAAGCTGTAGCTGAATTGGTAGAGTTCTTCCTTCAATTCCAAAGAGGTCTTGAGTTCGAGACCTTCTTGTGACAGTATCCTCCTATTTAGTTGTTTTTTTTATTTCTAATTTTTCTATATATTACTCTATTTAGTTGTTTTTTTATTTCTGAGTTTTCTGTATATATTCCTTTTTAAATTCTAATTTTTCTGTATATTATTTAAAATTTAACTTTCAAAATTGGTTTGTAGTTTGTTGGTAGAAATTTTTTACCCGTGCAAGATTTAATTTCCATTACATACAATATTTCAATTGTTTTCAATTTTTTTGAATATGCATGAGAGTATTTTTTCATATTTCAAAAAATCAAAATCTCCTAATAAAACGTATATTTTGCTATTTGCAACTCTAATTTATTCACAATTCCTTTAATATTTTATATTATCTAAATTATTCCAAAATTTTGAATGTTATATATATATATATATATATATATATATATATATATATATATATATATATATATATAAATTATTTCAATTGTTTTCTAAATTTACGTCTGTGAGTATTTTTTATATTTTGAAAACTCAGAATATGCTAATGAAATACACATTTTGTCACTTGCAACTTTAATATGTTTACCACTCATTTAATATTTTCACCAATTTTATGTCTAAATATTTCATAAATTAGCCCAAAATTTGTAAAATAATCCCTTTAAATTTGAAAATATTACATATTTTTATTATTTAATGTGTATAATAGTATTAAAAAAAATCGGGGGCGCTGCCCCCGAACCCCCGTAAACTTTTACCCAACCATTATATTTTTTACTATATTTAATTCCGAACACCCTTGACAAAAATCCTGGATTCGCCACTGATCCCATCGACATCTAAATTAGTATTTATAATTTTGAAAGATAATTGTTATTTTTTTTTTTTTTTGACAATAATTAGATTAAAAAATGTCATGAATTATTTTGTAACCCTTGTTTTAATGTGAACATATGATATGGTAGAATGTCTGTGTCTGGTACATTATTGAAGACTGTATAATGATAATATGCCCAATTAGTTACACTTCAAATCACTATAATTTAATGTACGACAACTTATGAAGTGATAGTTCCCTAAAACTCAGCCAGTACAAATTTTTAATGACTTCAATTTCAGGGTATGTTTGTAGGGGAAATTGCAAAAAGGTCCCCAAGACACTAGTATCACTTTCTCATCTACTACAGTCAAATTACTGTATTGGTTGTTAAAAAATAATTTGACAAAAAAAAAAATTAACGCTGGAGACAGGAAAAAATCAACCGTGTTGATCAGTGGCCAGATAAAAAAGAGGTAAAAAATCAAAAAAAAAAGGTAGGGGTTAATATGATATATTTATTAAAATATGGGGTTAATTTGAAATATTTGTTAAATTGGAACATTTCAGATGAAATTGATGTAAATTATATTGTAAATGATATTTTGGACAAGAGACAAGGAATGGTTTTTTTTTTTTTTTTATATTACTGATTTTAGTTTGAATATAATTGCAAAGAAGCCCACCTTGGAATTATATGGTTGTGTTTGGTAAGCTTTTGGGCTTCCATTTCCATTTTATTTTGGGGAAAGATGTTTTGGGAGAAGAATTTGAAAATTAAATAAAGTTTGTTTGCGTTTTGGGAGGAAACAATTTGTACTGTAGCAAGTCAAATCATGTCTGAAAGGTGTTGGTTAGATCATGTTTGTTAGAGAGAGAAATATTTGAATTTGTTTTGGGGAAAGTTTTTGAAAATAATGTAGAAAGATAATTTTCATTTTGGGGAAAGTGTGGAAAGAATTTGAAAACGGTAACAAACATAGCCTATGTGTCTCAATCCCAAAACTTTTTGCACTTTGATAGTCACGGGACAATAACCAAAAACTTATATTTAAAAAAAAATATTAGATGATTAATAAAATATATATTATATCCTAATTATTCAAAACGAATAGTAGTTTCTTGTGACTTGAATTGTTAGGTATATATATCAAATGTTTTTTTTATTTCATATTTGGTGAATATGGTTCTGAAATTGGTTACATATCTTAATCGCATAATATTCCAATGTACTAATATTAATAAAAATAATAATCAAACATTTGGTATTTTAAATAGATATTTAAAGAAACGCGTTCATTCGCTTCATATAATGTTACTATATTCCAAAATAATCTTTATATATAAATGCAAGAAATACTAGGGCAAACTAAAAAATTCTAATGACATATTTATAATTTTTTCAAAATTAATTATTGGTATTTTTCATCAATTTTTTCCATTTTTTTTTTCTAATGACTTTCAAATCCGATTTGCAAATTCGCTAGTGTCTCTCTTACACACCGATGTGGAATTTTTTAAATATAATTTAGTTATTATATATTTAAATTTTCATTCTTTTTACAATTTCGTGCATCGCACCAAAAAAATAGCTAGTTTTATTTAAAAGATGTGAAAATTATATTTTCATCCCTCAAGTTTGCACTAATTTCACATTTGGTCCATATGTTCACAAAAAACACATTTGGTCCCTCATGTTTCAATAATTCAACATTTTTTGGAAATTTCTGTCAATTTACCGTTAGTTAAGGCAGTGATGGGCACACGCTCGATTATGTTAGTTTTAACGGGAAATTGACAAAAAAAGACTAAAAGTGTTGATTTTTTTAAACATAAGGGACCAAATGTCTTATTTGTGAACATGGGGACCATGTGCGGAATTGGTGCAAACTCGAGGGGTGAAAAATGTATTTTTCCCTTAAAAGAATACATAATAAGTTAGAGATAGGAATATATATATTTTTTTTATATATATATATCAGATTTGGTGGTACAGTTAGATGCCAAAATAAGGTCACCAAAATGCATTGAAACTTTGGATTAAAAAGGAATGCATTGAAACTGGAGTCAAATTTGTTATGTCATCGTATATAAAAAAGGATTATTAAACCACTTTGCATTAAATAAAATATTAGAAACTTTGGATTAAAGAAAACCACACTAATACATAATAATTATTTATTAAAACCAAAACCCCCAATAATGATTCTAACTGGACCCATTGCATATATATATATATATGCACCATACTCTATTTGCTCGTGAGTCGTGACCATAATTAATTAGCGAACAAAATTGTTTAGACAATGAACAATTTCATTTCATTTTTTTTTTTTTTTATAATTTAACTAATTGCATTTTTTTCCAGAATTAATATTCATTAATAATGTATTATCTTAATCAGAAATCAATTTAGATCCAATACAATATAGCAGATCAATACATATTATCATCTTCCATATGAAAATACTTGAACAAATATATGTATATATAAGTAAAACTGATTGAACTATTTTATTAATTCATTATTATAATATTATAATTGTGCTATATAATTTAGAAGCTATTTGGGAAAGTGATATAAAGTGTTTTTATTTAATAAAAATATATTTAATAAATTTGATTCTTTCTTTTCTTTTGGCTACGAGCCACCTGCCGAAAGTTTCCATTATATTACATTTTTTGTAGCAATAAATTTAAATTAACCTAAGTCTAATGATTGGTTTATAAGATATGATTTATATTTGATTTAATCTACCACCAATGCCACCAGATTAGTGACGCTAAACAATATTGTTACGCGCACTAATGTTTTCAGTTTGTTTTATGCTACACTCGATGAGATTAATCGAATTATATTTTATCATATACGTACAAAATTCAATGTATATGTAGAAAATTACTCGATATATTTCGTCAAATACAGACACAAAACTAATAATTTTTCGAAATATTGACATACACTAGTATAATGAACATTACACATGTTTTATAACCTAGGGCTTGCTAAGTGTGTTTGGTGGGAGGATTAGGAGTACTAATTTTACATGTATTTATTTATTATTTTATTTAAGAAAATATCGTTTTTTTCTTCTTATTTATTGGTTTGGTTGTTCCAGAAACATCTAGCAACCCTCTCAGAATAACATACTAAAATTAGGCTGATGACTTGTCTCAAATAAATTATATTTTTATTACAAGAGTTGGTCTTCAAACAATGCATTAAAATAAAATAAAATAAATCATGATTTTTTTTTCCCAAAAAAATATTAATAAAACTTATTTAATGACCCCATTTGTTCAATAATTTAAGTTTTTAAATGGGTTTATTATCTAATATAATTAAAAAAAATCATGATTTCATTCCAAATTCGAAGATTTCGATTTACTCGTGTCTCAAAAAAAAAAAAAACTAGAATTAGTATTACATTTTCGGAAAAAAACAAATTATATTTTTACCCTATTGCAAGTACATGCAATTCTTTACTGAAAATAGTATCTACATCCACGATGCTTCATTAAAAGAGCAAATTAAATCAATCTACAAATTTGAAGCTTTTGAATAAAATGGTTATTCAATAAATAACACTAATATACAAAAGGTAAAATATCATAAAGAGCTAATAGCACAGACCTCCATGTATTGTTTCTAATTGCCGAGAAGCATCCTGTGTTAAAAAAAATCAACAAGAAGCCCCTCTTGTGTTTTATTTCCAAATTATTGTTGACTTATGTAAAATGACCAAATTACCCTTAAAAATATTAAGGGTATTTTTGACTTTTCAAGTCAAAAAATGCACTTCTATTCTCACAATCCGTGCATGTTAAGGTTTTTTTTGGTGTTGACTTTTTTATAGGGGTGTTATTGCTAATTTGCTTAACACGCGGGTTATTTAGCAATTAGAGACTATACAGGGATAGTTTTTTGAAGAAAAAAACCCAGTAAAATAAGTGTACCACAGTTTACCAAATTGAATTTTGGGCAGCTGCAGCCTATTAATCCTAAAATCAGAATTTATTACTGGGGCATGAAATTAATTATCAGATGTAAGAAAAAAGATATTATGGACCACTGCTGTTATATTTATTATCCATTTAAGAATATATGTCTCCTATAAAAACAAAATGTATAAATTAAAATAGAAAAAGAAATGTTACTAAAAGAAAATAAAAAAGACTTTCTTTATTTTTGATATAATTATGAAACAATAGTTAATTAAAAAATTATAAGAACCCATATGGGTTATTTTCGATTAAATTTAGATGAACGGAATTTGAGACGAAAATTCGAGAATGACATCAACTACTCCAAATAGTATAATTTGAAAATAATTTTGATCACGAGTATATAGGTGAATGAAAATTACAATTTCCGAATTTTATCGATTCCAATCCGAAAATTTTCCATTTTGGAACAAAAAAATTGATTCCAAAGTTTTTTGGAATATAATTGAAATTAATTTTTCACTCTCGAAAGTCGAAGCAATGTTAATTGCGGTCCGATTTCCATCCTTACTAAACATATATTGAGTAATTCGGCACCCTTATAAAAAAATAAAAAATATAAAAAAATCAATATGAAAATATATTCTTATATTTACAGGGTGTCACATTTAGGAGTATAGTCCATAAATACATAGGCGTGAAAATAGTCATTTTGGTTGGTGATCATAAGAAAAGTCAAAATCACACGCACGCACAAACGCTAGTCAACATCAACTGCATTGCCATGATTCCACGTCACCATCTTCATCTCCTATTTCTTCTAGGTCCTCAATTATTTGTATATACTTTCTTTTTGATAATTCAATTATTGAATATTTCTTTTTGCAGTAATCAATTATTGAATATACTAATATGTTATAATGAATTTTAAATTATATGTAAATTAAAATCTAGATATTTATCAACAAAACCACACTCAATATTAGTTGAGATATTTTATTTGGATTATGTAAAAGGTATGCATAATTATGTAATTATGAAAGTTATTGATCATTCCATTCCATAGGAAAGATGAGTGTTTTTTCGTAATTTAATGATACTGTCGTAATTTACCATAAATAAAAACAAGAGTAAATTACAGCTATACTCTTGGGGTATGTTAAAACAATAAAGCCCCCGTGATATTGGTAATTATGGTTACTTCCCTAAAACAATTACCAGAACCAAGATTTCAAGCCATGGGGACCGATATGCACTATATTTGTTTTCCGCGGGCTCGTTAATGCTACCATGGACGGAATTTATACATATTATATAAAATATTTAAAAAAATATTGGGGGAACCATGTCACCCCATAGATCTATGCTGTCTCAACCACCGCCTGAAATTAATAATGTTTATAACAAGGCACTATTCCGTTAGGGTTTCTAACAATGTTTCAGTGGTAATTGTAATTACCGATAACACAAGGACCTTACAGTTATTTGAGCATACCTCAGGAGTGTAGCCGTAATTTACTCTAAAAATAAAAATATGTAGTTAAAAATTACACTTACACGGTTACACCCTAAGATATGCCAAAATAACGTTAATTAAGGTCTATATGGTATTGATAATTACAGCCACCCCTGAAACAATTATCGAAGCCAAAATTTCATGCCTTTGGGATCAATATGCACTATATTTATTTTCCGGAGGACCGTTAACCCTAACTCTACATTGTCTCCACCATTGGCTGAAACTAATAGTTCGTTAGAACCCTAACGAAATAATTTATCGAACGCATGGAATTTATTCCATCAGAGTTTCTAACAATATTTGTAATTATCGATACTATAGGGATCTTAAAGTTATTGTAGCATACCTCAGGGTTGTATGTGTAATTTACCCAAATTCATTTGGTGGTGGGATTTATTATAAAGTCCACGTCATGGGATAGAGAACCTAACAGCCTGGCAAACGTAGATCCTAGCCCACTTGCAAATGTACACGTGTCAGCAGCCGATGCTGACACTCCTCCTTTCTTACAGCTGTCCCTCTTCCTCGTATAAATACAGCCTCTTGTTTCCAAAGTTTTTATATCTCAATAATCCAGAAAAATATATAATCATCATATTATGGCTTCTAATTACCATATTGCCACTGTCTCTTCTTCCCTGTTTTTCCTACTCCTCCTCGCATCTTCTTCCATGGCGTCGCTGGTGCAGCAGCCGCCGCTTGTTCTCAAATACCACAACGGCGCTCTGCTGAAAGGCACCGTCGCCGTTAATCTCATCTGGTACGGGAAGTTCACCGCCGTCCAACGCTCCGTCATCGTCGATTTCCTCCAGTCTTTGACCTCCACCAAACCGCCGCAGCCCTCCGTCGCGTCGTGGTGGAAGACGACGGCGAAGTACAAGGGCGGCGCCGGCGCCTCCGCCGTCGTCGTCGGGAAGCAGTTCCTCGACGAGAGTTACTCTCTCGGGAAGTCGCTCAAGAACCCCCACATCGTCTACCTCGCCGCGAAGGGCGGACGCTCCGGCGGGGCGGTCAACGTGATCCTGACGGCGGAGGACGTCGCCGTGGAGGGTTTCTGCATGAGCAGGTGCGGCAGCCACGGCTCGAGCCGGGGGGCGGCGCCCGGCGGCCGGTTCGCGTACGCGTGGGTGGGAAACTCCGGGAGGCAGTGCCCCGGCTACTGCGCGTGGCCGTTCCACCAGCCGCTGTACGGGCCGCAGACGCCGCCGCTGGTGGCGCCGAACGGCGACGTCGGGGTGGACGGGATGGTGATCAATCTGGCGACGGTTCTTGCCGGAGCGGTGACGAACCCGTTCAACAGCGGGTATTTCCAGGGACCGGCGGCGGCGCCGCTAGAAGCCGTCAGTGCGTGCACGGGGGTGTTCGGGTCGGGCGCGTACCCGGGATACGCCGGCAGCGTGCTGACGGATAAGACGAGCGGCGGTGGATATAATGCGCACGGTGTGAACGGGCGGAAGTATTTGCTGCCGGCGATGTGGGACCCACAGACATCTAAATGTTCAACACTCGTTTGACTTGTTTGGTAATATATGAAGAAAGTAGGGAGAAAAAGGGAAGAAAAGAAAAGGTTTCGGTGGGAGGTTCCAGTGGTTGCTGGTGTACGTATGTAAATATGCGGACGCAGATGAAAGGGTTTATGAAGGGGTTTGTGTGGCTTTGTATGATTGTACATTCTCTTTTGATCATAATGCAAAATGTTAAACAATTAACATCATAATAATAATATTGTAAGAGTGAAGTGTTAAATCAATCTTGATGTTTTAAATTTTTATCATTATCTATAATTATGTATTATATGATGTAGACGCGTGATTATGTGCCGATTCACGTACAAATTATATGATTTTGTTCAAATCTTCGTATAAAAATACAAAATTTTAGGAGATTATTTATCTTTTTGATGATTTTTAAGTATTTTTGGTGCACGAGAAAAGAAAAAAGAGGTAGAATTGCACGTTTTTCTAATTGTTATTATTTTAAAAAGTTTTTATAATAAATGAAAAAGTAATAGGGGTAAAAATGAAAAGATTGAACAATGCTGGGGTCAATGAGATAATTATAGGAGGTTTAGGTGGGATTCGTTCCTATCGGTTTGGGGTCTATTGCTCATCATTTATATGTTTGGCCCCTACTAGATGTTACACCATCTCCGTGACAAATTAATTTATAAAAAATAATAATATTTTTGATGCATAAACAATTTATCTGAGGGTTTATTGCACTCGATTCCCATGTGTTATATCGATTTCCTAAAATAATATCTTATTTTATTGGCAAAAACCCCCCATTCAATTGCTAAAAAATAGGTACCAATTGCTAAAAGAGATTAAATAACAGGGGGGTTTGCCTACAAAATAATACAGGTAGTATTTTGGCAATTCGGCATAATAAAGGAGTACTGATTGCAATAAACTCATTTATAAATGCAAATAAACTGAAATCTGTAGGAGGACAGATAAAATTTACAATAATAGTCAAAATCAGCTTTGCAAAAACAAAACTATAGTACAAACTTATTTCTATAAAATATATATCACATCTTTGAGCCACCAAAACATAATCAAGATTCCAAACATTTGATGTAATAAAATAAAAGTACCACTCGAAAGGGGTGATGGGATTTCTTACAGCCTGAAAGAGGATAGAGTACGGTGTTGTGGTCCGATTCTTCTCCTTCGGAGACGCTCCGCGATAATAAAAGAAAGCTCGAGAGATTGAGAAGCGTTGAGCCTAGGGTCGCAGTGGGTGTGGTAGCGCGAGCCGAGATCGTTGTAAGTGATTGTGCGGGACCCACCCACACATTCGGTTACGTTTTGGCCAGTCATTTCCAAATGCACCCCTCCGGGGTAGCTTCCTTCTTGATCATGTACGTCAAAGAATGCTCTCACCTCAGCCTGCGGATGATTTTTCAGAGTATAGTGAGAATTTTTTTTTTTCTTTTTTTTTTCAGAATATATTCAGCAGTCGATATATCAAACTACAATTAAATCAAGAAATAGAGAGGATATGTTAAATAGAGAGTAATTAGTCATTTGTCAAGTGTTTTACATTTTGACGTATAAAAGTATGGGATTATTGCGTTTAGTACCTCTGTGTTTACTCTAATTGTTAAAGAACTCTGTGTTTTGTGCTATTAATATTAGCAAAGAACCTCTATTCGATTTTTTTAAAAGAAAACTACCCCTAAAAACTCACTATTTAGGGGTTGTGTGCTAAAAACATGCATCATAGGTGGATTTTTGCTAATATTAATAACACGGAGGATTTTTTTTAGCAATACGATATAACATAGGGGGTACTAAATGCAATAAACTCGTAAAAGTACACTACGGGAATTGAGTTTTCTCATCTAGATCACCAAGAATTAATAAATTTTCTATCTAGATTCGGTTTCGGGTTTCTGTTCGATTTCGGTTTTGGTTTTCCATTTTGGTTTTCTTCGGTTTAGAGTTTCGGGTTCTGTTTCGATTTCGGTTTTGGTTTTCCATTTTGGTTTTCCATTTTGGTTTTCTTCGGTTTACAGTTTCGGGTTCCGTTTCGATTTCCGATTTCAGTTTTCGTTTTCAATCTTCGGTTTCAGTTTCGGTTTTCGGGTTTTCGGTTTCCGGATTTTTGGGTTTTGGGTCTCGGTTCTCGGTTTTCGGGGTTTCGGCTTTCGGGTTTCCGCTTTCCGGGTTTCAATTTCTGGGTTTCGGTTTTTGGTTTTCGGTTTTTGGTTTTCGGGTTTTCTTATCTAGATCACCAACAAACATGATACATGAGCTATTTCCATTGCCAAAAAAACTTGAAAACGACAAAGAAAGAAAACTCGAAAGGAAAAACATAGAGAGAAAAGCTCGGAATATACCCTGATAGCATCGAAGGAGCGAGTCTTGAGTCCACAAGGAGCTTTAATGGTGTTACCATGCATAGGGTCACTAACCCACGTCACAATCTGACCTGCTCTTCGAACCGCCCTAATCAGATACGGCAGTTTCACTCTCATATTCTCTGCCCCCATTCGAACAATAACCGTTATCCTTCCAGCCTTATTTTCAGGATTCATAATATCAATAAGTTTCACCAACTCGTTCGGATCCATTTTATCACTAACCTACATCACAAAACCACAAAAAATAAACTAATGACATTTCAAACAAATAACCCCATTTTCAAATACTAATCTAGTCGAGATTACCTTGATTCCTATAGGATTAGAAACCCCTCTCAAGAACTCGACGTGGGCCCCGTCTAACTGCCTTGTCCGTTCGCCGACCCAAAGCATGTGAGCAGAGCAATCGTAGTACATGCCGGAAGTCGAATCCTCTCGAGTAAGTGCTTGTTCGTAAGGTAATAATAAGCACTCGTGCGATGTCCAAAACTCTGTAGTTGTCATTACAGGGTGGTCGGACGTAAAACCACACGAAGCCATGAAGCCAAGTGCCTCATCCACCCGATTCGCCAATTCACGGTACCTTTTCAATTAAAACAAAAAAAAAATTGAAATTAGAAATGCAAAGTAAACATACAAGTTAGAATTGATTATATATATACCTATCGCCTTGCTCGCTTTGTTCGGTGAAATCGAGGTTCCATTGAGTGACCCTCTGCATGGCGGCGTATCCTCCAGTGGCGAATGCTCTGAGAAGGTTCAGTGTAGCAACGGATTGAGTATATGCTCGAATCATTCGCTGAGGGTCCGGAATTCTTGATTTTTCATCAAAGGCGTCGCCGTTGATATTATCTCCTCGATAACTCGGTAGCTTTATGCCGTCTTTCTCTTCGAACGAATCGGATCTCGGCTTAGCGAATTGCCCTGCCATTCTTCCAACCTAAAATAGTGTGTATATAAGAAGTCAGTTATCTTTAATCCCAATCCCCAATTCTTAATTGTCCATAGATATTCAAAACTCAAATCAATAAATAAGTCGATTATCAGCGGACCGAAACTGATAATATATTCATACATGGATTCTAATAGGAAGCAAACTCTATTCTGGTTTGTATCTTGTAAATTCGTTTAGCGGGTAAATTACTGCCACTCCCTTAGGTACGTGTCAAATTACGAAAAAACCCCTCAGGTTTTGGTAATTGCAACCACCCCTCAACTATGAATCTTCTTACACGTCCACCCTTTTATGATGTCAAATTCAACATAATCTTCTAGATTCCATGGTATCTTCTGTACTTTGTACAAGTACAAATTTTGTGCAAAAATGCAGTCTGACGCAACACAATCTGATATTTACAAACCAAGAGACACATCTTATGATCATCTTCTTACAAAATGTGTAAGTCGAATCAGGTAAAACGAGTACAAACTGGAGAATATTCCACTAAATTTGACATTACCCAAACATGAGGGGTACTTTCGTAATTTGACCTTAGTAAAAAATATTCAAACCATGTTCGAGATATGCAATTGAATTATAAGAAGAGAGAGAAATTGAAAGACCTTAATAATAGGCATCTGGCCACCAAACATGAGTACAACGCTCATCTGCAACAGCACCCTGAAAGTATCCCTAATGTTATTCGCAGTGAATTCCTTGAAGCTCTCGGCGCAGTCGCCGCCCTGCAAGAGAAAGGCGTTTCCGAGGGCGGCCTGAGCCAGCTTCTCCTCGAGGCTGCGGGCCTCGCCGGCGAAAACGACCGGCGGGAACGATTCGAGAGTTTTGAGGACCGATTCGAGGGAATTTTCGTCCGGGTAGTCTGGGAGCTGAGAGGCCTTTTTCGATTTCCAGCTGTCGAGGCTCCAATTTTTTGATTGTGGAGTGGCGGCGGCGGAGGCGGCGGTGGAAGGCGGTGGGTTCGATGATTTGACGCATGAGATTGTTTTTGTTCTGGATTTGATGGATTGAGGCGAAATTGGGGATGATTTGATGGGAATTGGATGTCTGGAGGAGGCGGTGGGGTGGAGGAAGGTATAGGGTGAGGCGGCGGCGGTGGTTGTCAGAGCCATTGCTTTGGCCTGCATATCTTTCTCGGGGGAAGAGAGAGAGAGAGAGAGTGAACGAGGACAGTGGATTTGGAGAGAGAATGTGACCTTAAAATGAGAGAATATTAAATTGGAGATTTTTTTTTTCTTTTGGAGGTGATTGCTGACAGAGACTACGGTATATTCTAGATTAATATTTAGCTTTGTTAAAATATTTGTTAAATGATGGCATTATATTACTCTAAATTACACTACCTACCCCTTAGGTTTAAGGTAATTTAATTTAGACCCTCTCTGATTTGGAAACTACGCATACCTCCCTTGAGTTTCGATTTTAGCGATGATTTAACCCATTTGACAATTGACTTATTTTACAGTTCTTCTTTAGAGAAATTCTATTTTTACCATTGAACAAATAGTGAGGACCTTACATTCCTCCCATGAAGTTAGATCTAAGTACACAGAGACCCGTCGTACTTTAAAAGTGTTACATAGGCATCCCTTAAAGTTTAATTTTTAACTAAAATTAAACTTAAACTCATTATATGATATTTTTATATTTAACGAGTAAATTAAGTTTTTAATTAAAATTAAACTTTAATTCTTTGAAATATAAGGGGTTTATATGTAATTAGACCTAACCTCTGGGGAGTATACTGTGATTTACTCGATATTTGTTCAAGAGGCTCGTAGCTACATAGCTTATCGAATGAATACCTATATTCAAATTTGGTTAGTCAAATCACCAAACCAATCTCAAAAACGAGCTTTTCACAAACAATCTCGAATCGAGTAGCATGCATAGAAACATGGAAGAGAGGATAAATCTCATAGCAAATTAAAAAACCAACCGCCGTTTCACAGAAAAAAGAGAAAATGAAGGGGCAATCATCACAATAAATAACTACAATAACAGTCGCTAAAAGCTCCATTTCCTTAAAAATATCACTGCCAATCACACCATAAAACAGATGACGAAAAGCGTTTAAACACAAGGCTCATCCGAAGTAAGGGCTGTATCGCATGGGCACTCTAAACCTCGGAACCTTCCTGCAATCGGTACAAACTAACATCTGTCAGTGAAGTCGAAAACTATCTTTTTTTTTTACATAAAAATAAGGATTAAACTGTGCCGATAAAAGTACGACGAAGAGAATAATTCATACCCATATCCATAAGGAGAATATACCAAAGGAACAGGCATAAACGGTGTCCTAGATCGAGAGCCCATATAGGGATTGGAACGCCTAGGACGGAATATCTTCATACCAGGAACATTGGTCCTCTTGGCAGATATCTTTAACAAAAACACGAAACTTTTTAAGACATTATTAAACTATATATACACGAGGTTTTGTAATTAAATAAGCATTTCTCTGACTTAATTCAGAAAACGAATAACTGGACCTTCAATTGGCGACCGTGAAGTTCAGATTCATTCAGAAGAATAGCCTGGTCAACAGCTTCTGGTTCAAGAAACTCAACATATGCATATCCCTTTGGTTGTCCGTACTTATTAGTCCTAATAGTTACTCTATTCACTGTCCCGCAAGCCTGAAAATGCTGCTGTACTTCCTCCGGTGTACATGAATAATCCACCTATATAATAAGCATATTCCACTCTTAATTTCAATTTATTTTGGAAGTCCTTCGGAAACCAACAAACGATGGCTCATATGAATCTATATCTTTTTTTACGCATAATGCACTCGTTGCATGTATAAATATAAAATTCAATCAACACAGAAGCAAGCATAAAAAGTTTGACGGGACGAACCAAGTGGAACGTAAAGCAGTAAAATCAAACTAATGTCAGTATTAGAACCAACTTGGCATCATTAGAAAGTCAAGAAGTATCCATAAACACAGTTAAGTTATAAGACAACCCACACTGCGAAGGCATTGCCCGAGTGGTATTGGGTGGGAAGGGTAGTATTAGGTCAAGGATTCAATTCTCTTTGGGGTCGGTTGTAGACCAACAAGAAGGCCAATTCTTTTATATTTAAAAAAGAAAGTAATGAGACAACCCACAAAGTTTTATGTGGCATGAATAGGGAAGGTATCAACACACACACATAAATCCAAACAAAATAAACACGAAAAAAAAAAGATGAATAAACAAAATAATGTTAACTTCATTCATAGAAGGAAAGGGATTTCTATAGGATCACAAAACACAGAAATGTGTTTTTTCTTTTATCAGTAATGATCAGCACTGGGGGTTGAAAAAACAAAGCAATTGGCATCTCAACCCGAAAATAAGATATAACAAATCATGCAGGCATAACATCCGACAAATGCAAGTAATAACAAAGAAGAAAACTTACATTGCCCACAAAGATTGATCTAGCATCCACTTCTTCCTTATTTGTCTGATCAGCTGCTGCAGCGGCAGGATCTATCGCAATATAAAGATATATAAATCGGTATAAATAAGATATAGAAACAGATCATAATTGTCATTGGTAATATTATATAGAAGGCGGCATTGTGGTTGCATCCATATATGAACAGCATTAACTAAACCCATATTCATCCATTTTCATCACTATCTAACATTCTTAGTTTCACCTGAAAGACTAGAACGACAAAAAATTTGTCTATGGCAGACATTCCATCATGTGTTGCAATGAGAAGTTGCGGAAATCATAAGTTAGTACACAATCAGAAAGAAAAATGTTCCAAAATATGTAATTGTAGGAAAACGCAAACGAGACCGTGAGGAAACATTAAAAAATAGGCATGTGAAAAGCTCGTGATAGACTTCACTTCATATGACAAATTCGGACTCAATTCTAGATCTTAGACAACAAAAGACACGTCTTCTTCACTATATCCCCTTTTTTAAGGTTTCACTTCATCTCGTGAACAGATTTTTTTTCACAATTTGGTCCATTGGATGAACCCTACTTAGCCGTGATCAGAAAATTTGTTCGATACTTACAGAATAATCAATCATTTCCTAAGATTTATCACTATATATCAGCTCATAGTTATACAGTTACAGCAAGAAAAACGTTGCCCACAGAACTAACAATAGCAAAAAAAAAAAATCCTCATGTCATAAATTCCAGGAAAAAGTTCCTATACAATTGAGTTTCCAAAGATCAGATAAACTCAGCATAAGACTAATACAGTAATACCTAAGCCATTTTTTGCTACGCTAATATAATAAAAAAATAATAATAATACTAATTTGACTGAAAACAAATACAAGGCGCCTACATCTTATTCAGAAATGAAATAATATCCGAGGGAAAAAAAAAAATCGAAGATGTGGAAGGAAAAGGGGATTGATAACCTTGAACGGCGCCAATCTCCTGATCGACTTTCGCCTGCATTTCCCGGAGAGTGGAAGCTTCATCCTCCATATCCTTCAGCCTCTTCTTCATCTCGTCTAGCCCCTGAGAAGAAGAAGAAATACAGATAAGCATAAAATGCTAGGGTTTCCGATGTGGAGGGGGAATCAACATCTCTAATCGAAAACGAAACAACGCTAATCAGAGAACGGTATGGATTTGATCAAGCACAAAATTGAAGAATAATTACAACGGCAGCTCCGCCTTCTCCCGCCGCCATGTCGACGTCGCCGTCCATCGATCTCTCTCTCCCTCTCGCGCGCGCGCGCCCGCTCGCACACTGATTTTCTCTGTTTGTGTTGCTGAGACAAGATTATTTGTACAAGGGGAAAATACTATAGTTTGGGTATGTGAATGGACACTTGTACCCTTGCAAAAGCGGAATCGTGTAGTTTCGGTCTAGGGTTGCAATTGGAATAAACATTTCGAATTTTATTGATTTTTGTAGGGTAAATTACTTGCACCCCTAGGTAAGAATAAATTACGAAAAACTCCCTCATATTTGGGTCATTACGACCACCCTCAACTATGAATCATTCACGTCCATCCTCGCGGTGTTAAATTTAATAGAATCTTTTAGATTATGTGAAATATACTCCAATTTGTACCGTTTATCCCGTTCGAGCTCAACATTTTGAAACAAGATGATTATAAGATGCGTTTTTTTGATTGTAAATATCAGATTGTGGTGCATCATAAATTGAATTATTGCACAAAACGAGCAGAAACTAAAGAATATTTCACGGAATCTAGAAAATTATGTTGAATTTGACAACATAAGGGTGGTGAAAGTGTAAGAAACGTTTATAGTCGAAGTAATTGTAATTATCCAAATAAGAGAATTTTTTTTTTGTAATTTAAAATTTACCCTAAAATAAATAATAGATTTATTTCCACTCCAACATTAATTTCCGAAAATATTTCTAAAGGTAGCGACTCTTTGCAAGACGGAAATTACTTAGGGAAAGACCAAATTAATTTTTTTTATTAAATTCAGTATAAAAAGACTATAATAACCTTAATAAAATACAAACAAAATAAAAATTCTTTTATTAATTTCCTTTTGCAAGACCAATTTAAAAAAGAAAAATTAATAAAAAAAGAAAGAAAAAAAGAAATTGAATCGAGAATTGAAAAACGAGGAGGGAAGAAGGGAAGAAGAAAACAAAAAAATTCAATTGCAGCACTCAACCCCGCCTTCGCCGTCGCCGTCGCCGTTGAAGTCCACCACCTCCCCGTCGCCGTTGAAGTCCCCACCTGCAACTGTTGTTGCCCCAACCCCGCCACAACAATCTCACGAAAACCAAGTAAGGAAATTACTTTTTGAATTAACTTTTTGTTGAGAAATAAAATGTGATAAACATGATTTTATTGTTAGAATAATGAATTCAAGTCATTTTAGAACATAGTTGATGATTCTAGGGTTCGATTCTAGCACTATTGTTGAAGGAGTTGCGGTTTTTAAAAAAAGGACCTGTATTTGCGATTTTTTGGAAATATTTCGACATACTAGTGTCGATTTTTTCATCTAACTTCGACAACAAACAATTGTCGATTATTTTACCTTTTTTCGACATCTCAATGTCGATATTTGGAGCAATATTCGACATTGTTGTGTCGAATTTGTGTACAATTTTCGACACAGAGCTTATGTCGATTTTGTGTACAAATATCGACATTGTGATGTCGAAAATTGACTGGTAAACTAATTTTTTTTGCAAACTTTTTTTATTTTTTTTATATATAAATGATTAATATTATATTTATATTTTTCAGTGGAACCGCGTATTCCCCAAACTGCTTCTGAGCGCAAGAAAAAGGCATTGGTCAATCGTAAAGTTCGACGTGGCGATTCTCAAGCTACTCGGGTCGATCCTCCGGCCAATAGTACACGTTTACCTACCGATGTTGAGCCTTCATTGTCCATAACTGAGGATCCAACGCTCACATTGACCATCGAAGTTGGTGTATCTAGTAGCCAATCGGCTGGCTCCAGAGGACCACAAATACCAGACTTGATGCCGCAGTTTGAGAATCATATCGCCCGACAGATTTTGTCCGGAAATGTACTTTTACATATGCTAATGAAGTTATTTACTTTATTGATTGAATGTTTATTTTTATTAAAATTGTAGGAGCGCGAAAGTGTGAGGGTTCATAATCACACAACAATATTGGAGAAGTGGCGGATGGCTCCTTTTCGACTGCTTTCTTATTTTTTTAGTTTTTTCAATTTTTAAATTTTAACTCATTTCGACTACTTTTTTTTGTTTCTTCATTTTAATTTATTTACCGTCGCAGATTATATGGGCCCCGTATGAGGTCCTCCGTGACAGGTTTCCTATGTCAGAGTCCACGTGGTTTAGTGGCATGTTACAGTACATGCGTACTTTGGAGCCTTACCATCCGGACAGGGTCTTAAGACAATTTGGGCGTGTTCAGAAGATTCCCGGCCAACCGTACATGTCGGACGCTATGTTGAGGAAGCAGAAGCGGGACACACCTCATCCTGTATTTACGGCGTACCAGAACATATATTCTGAGCGATGGGAAGATCACTTGCTTAATGAGCGGTCCAGATCAGTTCCAGTGGTATTAGGAGAGCCGGACACTACACCCGACTATATGGATTGGTATAGGGAGCGGACCATCACAAAACTCAGTACGCTTCCAGTTTCTCGACCGCAAGCACCCGGGCGTCGCCAGATAGCTCGCTCGCCACTACTAGAGGCCCGTGATTCTCAGATTATTACGATGGTGAGGACTACATTGGCTCGCATACGCGAGCAAGATACCGATGATGGATATACCGAGATGGTGATGACGTTAGAGGGGATTGCTGATTTGTTTGCTGGTGACACTCCTACTTCACCACCATCGTCGACTGCTCCACCACCGGATCCACCATCGTCGACTGCTCCACCATCGGATGCACCATCGCCGATCGCTCCACCACCGTTACTAACATTTCAGAGGAAAAAACTTAGAAAGAAGTAGATAGTTAGATGATTTTGATTATTTTTTGGATGTTTTTTATTTTTCGATGATTTTGGATGATTTAGAATTTTTTGTTTTTGGATGATTTTGGATGTTTTTATAATGCACGAGTTAACTAATTATTTTATCAAATATATATATATATATATATATATATATATATCAAAAATATATTTAATGCACCAATTCTACATATCAATACATATGGTCTCTTGTAGTGCTACATAATTACGATTAATTAGCTCTTTAAAAGCAATAATCCTAGACTCCATATCAATAGTTTTCCAAACACTAGCTCTAAGGTGGTGGTATCGCCTCCAATAATCTGCTACAGGGGGAAGAGGACAATTCTTCTTCAAAACAAGATGCACAAAATGATTTCCATCAACAAGCGCTATCCCATGCTCTTGTCTTTTTCCCTTTCCTTTGTCGTCTTGACCGGGTACCTTTTTTGCCACGATACACTCCCACACGCTCGCATACAAGTACCACGTAGGGCCTTCTACGTTTATTTTTTCCCGGGTTTGAAGATTTTACTGTCATTATCATTCCTAGTTGCATACCAACTTCGCGCACCCATGTGACTAAATTGTCCCTTGTTGCAAACTCCTCATGGGTGGTAAATTCATGTGAATAATCCAAAGCTAATTCCTTACATGCATTAGCTCCACTACACGCGCTAGGTACAAAACTCTGCAAGAAAAACCGGAAAATTGGTTACACAATTGTAACATTGAAAAATCGACACACCAATGTCGAAATATGCATCTAATATCGACACCAGGATGTCGAAAATTTCAATATAATTCGATTGTTAAAGAGTGTCGAATTATGTTGAAATTTTCGACGCTACCGTGTCGATATTAAGCGCATATTTCGACCTGTCACGTCGAATTTTTTGTACGTGAAATGAGGTGCGAAAAACGAGAAAAACGATCACAAAGTACAATATTTCTTACCTCTTTGTGTTCTTCGACCTTAGAATCCTCCATATTTATGTCTTATGTATCCATAATGTCATTCTTTTCAAGTTTTAGTAAGATTTGAGGGTTTTGTGTGATAAGGATTTTGGAGAATATGGAAGATTTTTTTGTGGAAAAAAATGTGTAAAATGAGGGTGAAGAAGAAGATGTTGGTGTTTTGTTGGGGGAGTGAGTTCCCTCTCGTTTTTCCTTTTTTTTTATTCTTTTATTTTTTGTATTTTTTTTTTGGTCTTGCAAAAACAATCTTATATATAAAAGAAAGAAACGCTAGGGTAACCTAAGAAACCCTAATGCCATATTTGTAAAATTAAATTAATTTATGTGTCTATATTTTTTTATCAGCTAGCACAATCATAATCCACTACATCTATATTTTTGTAATTATTATTATTATTATTATTATTATTATTATTATTATTATTATTATTATTATTATTATTATTATTATTATTATTATTATTATTATTATTATTATTATTATTATTATTATTATTATTATTATTATTATTATTTTATCTTCTATTTTCCAGCTTATTTTTTCTATAAAAAAAAATTGCTTCATTTATTTAATGATCAATTCCATATTATGACAATTGAGTTATTATATATTTTTTTGAGTGAGTTTGTCTTATTAAATTCGTATAAATGTTGATGTTGTTATCGATAACACTAATAAATTTTATAGTAATTGTTATCATCATATTTTAAACTAATCATCATTTTCATTTAAAATGTTATCCGTCCCGTGCATCGCACGGGGAAAAATGCTAGTTAGCTTAATTTAAATTAATAATATCTAAATTATTATTGGGGTTATATTTGTAATTTCCAGTCTTGATCTTAGTAAATTTATTTATTGCCATTTCTAAAAGCTACGAACTCTTTAATTATATATAATTAATAAAATAAATAAATAAAAGTTCTACAACCTTCACATCCGAGATGATCCATCAAAGTAAAAAATTCTAATCCCAGAATTCCTCATTTTACCAGAACTATTGATTGATTGAACCCTAGTTCTGATTCCCAAATCCACCATTTTCAGTTTCTGAATCGACGATAAAGGAAAGAAGAAGAAGAAGATGTTTACCCTCAAAATCCACACCGTCGACTTCCCTCAACCCCTCCACACCACCTTCACCTCCACCACTTCCGGCGCCGCCGCCGCCGCGGCAGACAACAATCTGAAGCCCGCCGAACTGATGGGCGTCGCACATCTCTTCCGTCAGCTGCCGTCCGCCACCACCCCAGCCATCACCGTCGCCAACATAACCGCCCGCACCACCCTCCTCTTCGTCGTCGCCGTTCCCAACTACTTGACCTCCGACGAATTCCTCCTCTTCTGCGGGAACCACGTCCCTCACTTTGTAGAGATCCTTTTCCTAAGGTATGAAATAAAAAATAGAACATGTTTAATGTTAGCTTTCTAATTTTGATTTTGATTTTGATTTTTTGTCAATTTGGGGAATATAAATGTTCTATTTATCAGAAATGACGGAATGGAGGATAGGTATAGTGTTCTGATAAGGTTAGAGAATCAGTTAGCTGCCGATGGGTTCTATTGTAGTTACAATGGCCAAAGATTCAAGCCAACTGAGGTAATACACCTGTTATTGAAGCTGTTTCTCCATTGACAACTGTTTCTTGCACTTTCTAATTCGTTTGATAATCGTGTTTACAGGTTGAGGTTTGCCATATATATTTTGCTCAATCGTTCGAGTACACCGAATCCGCAGAAACCGCTAGTATTGTCCCGCCTGATTATACGGAGTTGCCCTCGTGTCCTGTTTGTCTTGGTCAGTTACTTTTCTTTTAGCTTTGTTCATAGGGATATCCTCATTCTCTGCTGTTGTGCATCCCTTTTACATATTGCTTTTTTTTTTTTTCCATATGAGATAATCTGATGGTTACGATTTCTTTTTTTTCCGATGATTTACTAGAAAGATTGGATCCAGATACTAGTGGAATACAGAGCACGTTGTGTGACCATTCTTTTCATTGTTCTTGCGTCTCAAAGTGGACCTACTTGTCTTGCCCGGTCAGTTATCCACCTATGTAATTTTCTTATATATTTTATAAATTTCTTCCTTTTATGGTTACCTTGTAAGATATCTAACTATAATTCTATATTAAGCGCATAGTAATTGTCACGTTTTCACATTTCAAGATGATTGCATATCAGTATATGAGTTGTTGCTGACTGTTTTTCAGATCGATACTGGTAATTTTTAATCTTGAGTTACATGAAAATCTTAAGCGGTTGTACTAGAGAAACGTGAACAAGAAAAATAAATTTTCATCTAGATAGCCTGTGTTTTGTGTTTCATGGAGTTCCTAAAACATACATAATTATTATCTACGTATATAACTAAATATATAGTCCAGTTCTAAATAATGCATTGATTTTAGTACAATGATCTCAGCTCACCAATATTCTTTTTATAATAAATATATATCGTCTATCTTTCTGTATCTCAGGGGTATATCGACTTACTATTTTGCTTATCCTACCTCGTTGCAGGTTTGCCGACTTTCTCAGCAACAAGATGAAAAACCAGCCTGTGCGGTATGTGGAACTTTCAAGAACCTTTGGATCTGTTTGATCTGTGGTTTTGTAGGATGTGGAAGGTAATTATCTTAGGCCGCAAATTTGTAAACATGTAAATTATTACGACCGTGCATTATTTATTTGATTTCAAGTTATCTTACTAAATGGTTTGTTCAATAGATACGAAAAAGGTCATGCTAGTGGACATTGGAGTGATAAGAAACACCATTTTTCACTCGATCTGGAAAAGCAGCAAATCTGGGACTATGTTGGAGACAGATACGTTCACCGGTTGAATCATTCGAAAGCTGATTATAAATCAGCGCTTACTAATTCAAGGTGCAGTTCAGCTGAAGAATGTGGGACATGTGGATATGATAAAGGGGAAGGGTTGGATGGCGCGCTCTTTAGCAGTAAAATCGAAGGGGTACTTCTTCATTCGTCTTGAAAATCACTTTATAAAATGATTTTACGTCCAATGGATAAAATTCCTTAGGTTGGATTTTCTTTGTTTTATTTAGGTAGGTTCTTGTTATTTATACATGAATGTAACATCTATTTAGTGGCGGCATAAGGTTGAACTTCTACAGTTAGATTTCACTAGCATTTTGTAACATCGTTTCTTTTGGAAATAGATTATGGATGAGTACAACCGTCTTCTTGCAAGTCAACTGGATACTCAGAGACAAGTAAGTACACACATCGTACTGAGCAGAAAAGAGGTTGTAAGAGATAAGGGTCGAGTTTCTTACATATGTTTTTCTGTTTTGCTTTCATGTCTTCAGCATTATGAATCGTTGCTCGCTGAGGCAAAAAGTAGAAAAGAGAGCTCAATAGCAAAAGCAGTTGAGAAAGCTATATTTTCGAGAACGAATGATCTAGAGTCCAAATTGGAAAAATACGCGGAAGAGAAGGCGGCTTTTGCAGAGGTGAACTTTTAGATTTTCGTTAATCTGTATAATTCGTCTGTTTTATTTTTTACGAACCAAATCGCCATAACAATTTTGATGTTAAATATATAGTCTCTGTTCGCTTTTTTGTTTCAGAGGAATCGAGAGCTTATGAAGAAACAAGAATCCTTACAGAATAAGTTCAAGGAAATTGAGGAGAGGTAATATCTCTTCTGCGATGAATTAACATGCTAATAGTTTCGGCATTTTCACCCTTATCGTATTTAATTATCTCGAATTTCATTTTTACCAGGGAAAAATCATGTCTCAAGTCGAAGGATGAGAAAATCTTAGATTTACAAGAACAGGTAAATTTGCACCATGTTTGTGAACTCTATTGCATTTTTATTACTCGGGCACTCGTCAAACTGCAACGTTATATATTTAATTTGCAGATAAGAGACCTAAAAGTTTACATTGACGCGCAAAGAATGGTGACAGGCATGGGCGATCCAGATGGAATTAGAGGAGGGACTGTTTTGCCTGTTGAAGCAAGTGAGGTTTCTTCGGCCAATCCTAAAAGGCGTAATACTAAATCGGGTCGGCGAAAGAACTAACCGGTTTCAAGGTTACGTTTCCCCAGGTTTATTCTTCCATGCGCTTTCTTTTTGTTTTGCTTATGTACATTTGGCATGGATAAATGAACTTCAAAGCTAAAGAACGATTGGCCAAGAAATCAGATGTAGTTGTAAATCATTAGTAATGAAATTTCGCCTCCCCGTGAGTGTCTATTATCTTTAGTGCTCAAATATATGCTACGTCGAGTAAAGATCTACCATTCATCTACCCGCCAATATGCATGTGTGTGTGTGTGTGTGTGTGTGTGTGTGCGTGTGCGTGTATGAATGGTGATGATATATTATGTATACTTCCTCGATATTTATATTCGTAGTACAACATTAACTGGGAAGGAGTAGGGCCTCCAAGAGTAGCCTGAGAGGCGAGAGCACGAACTGCATTGGGGAATTTGTTATGCTTAAAATAAGTATTTGTGGTAATTTTGTAAATAGACTGAATTTGGGGGGTGATTTTGATATTTAATTTTTTTTGTAATTGAGGAGGAAAAAAGCTTCCCCCAGAGTTTGGGAGGGAAGGGATGAGGTAATGGCCCCACAAAGGGTCAAGAACTCAACATATCCCCTTGTGGTGAAAAATGTTTTTATTATATTTTTCTAGTAATTAACTAATTATATACGCCACGTGGCATACGTCACTAATATAGTATGTGATCAATTATTTTGCAAAATATTTGCGAATTTAACTACTATTCGTAGATAAAATAATTTATTTCACTGTTGAATGTTGAATCCCAAATATTTAAAGTCATTTCTTCAAATTGCTCTTCAATTCTAAGTTGACGGCTTTTGCGATAGCTTCCATCTAATTCTGCAGAAATGATCAATTGAAACCTTCTAACGGTTTATGATAGACCTAACATATTTCCTTGGAGAACAAGTAAACACTCAATTTTCCGCACTGTCAAATCCATGGATAGATATATAATGTCCTGAAGCTCTTACTACCTATGATTTAGTTTTTATGAATTTGTGAATATTATAACATTATATTCAAATATTTAGACCAGCTGAACTTCAAACTCAATATTTTTAATTGGGTCTAACTGATTTTTAAGTATTAAAAATCTCTATGAACTTCAGAAAATCAAATGAACATAACTAGAGATTTTTGTTTGAGCTTGATTTACCATCATAATGAATCAAGTTGAAACACATATTTTTGTCGAATCGATTTCGGGTCGAGCTCGGTTAGAAAAATAAAATAGGTATACGAATCAAAATAACCGAGTTCAATTCATGTTTGACTCGGTTATTTATTAAACCAAAACCCAAAATGATCCAGCCCATTACCGTTTGGTAGATCCAGTGAAGCCAAAGGCCCAACTAGGGTCAAAATGCACCAATAAGCCCACCAAGAGAGGAGGGCCCATTAAGCTGGCGCCTTGTTAGGCGATAGGGACCAAACGACCCGCGAGAACGAGAAGCTCTCTCGCTCTCTCGCAAAGCTTCTAGCCAGACCAGCCCGGAGTCGGTGCTAGCTGCACGTGGAGGTATTTAATGCATGTCTAATCCACTAACAGGCGCAGAGGAATGTAGTTCTGGTCTCCTACTTTTTGCAGTTGCAACTGCCAATGAAATGACATATTAAACTGCATTGAAGGTAATTTGGAGTCCGGATGCCTAATTATCGCGATTGGACAGGTAAATTAAATTGGAGAATATTAGACGTATGCCCCCTTTCTAGTATAAATAGGGGCAGTAAATACATGTATCAAAAGATATAAGAAAAATCTTCTACACCAATTACATATAAAAAACATAATATCTTCCTCAAGAAGTTACTGACTTGACAGTTGGAGTGCTAACTCCGGCCTAAGTTCAGTTTTTTCCTTTTTTGTAGGTTTATCCACGGGCTAGGGTCCAAGTTCAGGCCTACCTAATTCTCTAAAATTAACCCACCACGAATTCAGCCGGATCACAAAACAATTACGGAAGGTCGGACAAATGTAAGTGTTTATCTCGACACGACTCGTTTGACACTCCTAAATCCAGTTCGAAAGCTAATGATTAAAAGAATAATGAATAATTCTAAAAAGTTATTTAGAGCAAATTACGACCACCCATGAGTTATGGTTAAATTACGAAAACTCCCTTTTTGTTTGGGTAATTACACCACCCATCAACTATTTATTATCTTACGAAAATACCCCTCCAAAGATAAATTTATGGATGTTAAAATAGAATCGAAATTTCAGTACGCCAACATTTCATACTTTTTACCGAACTGAAACGATTTGGTTCAGTAAATAACCGAATTACATAAATTTTATGTAAAAATATTTAAAATGAAGTAATGGTTGTAGTTACCCAAATAAGATGAGTTTTTTTTCTTCATAATTTGGCTATACCTCAGTGGGGGCAGTAATTTGCCAAAGTTATTTATTAGTTGGTAATTGGTTAATGCCAGAAAACGTGTTGGTGAAGAGTTAAACAGTCAAAATATAAGAAAAATGAACAAGGGGTAAAAAAGGGTAAAAAGATCTCCAAAAAGTGAACGGTCGACTTCATATATATATATCAGGGGTTTTTTGCAAGAACCACCCCTGTCAGGGGCGGACCCAAGGTATACCTTGGGGGGGCCTCCGCCCCTGCAGGAAAAATTTTTTTACCTATTTTTTATTAGATTTTTAATATTTTATGTTATTTATCTATTGATTTATATCATTTAGCCCCCCCAAACTTCAAATTTAATATCATTTTAGTCCAAAAATTTTTTTTTAGCCCCCCCACCCAGTAACCCCTGGGTCCGCCCCTGACCCCTGTGTAATCTCTAATTGCTGAAAAACCCCTCATGTTAAAACAATTAGCAAGGACCCCCCTATGAAAGTTAGTCAAAGCCAATAAAGCCCTTAACATCTTCTCGTGTTCTCCACGCGCGCATTGTGCAGCTCGGGTGCATGTTTTGATGTGAAAAAAACTAAATATATTTTAAATAAAAGGTTGAAAATTACAAATTAGCCCCAAAATTTTCATAACCCCAGAATAAAGCTCTTAGAATTTTCAATTCAGTCCTTGAAAATTTCTAAAATGCCCTCTCTCCAAATCATCTCATCCCGATCAAACTCTCCACCATTTTCACGCAATAGATACACAAAATGCTTCCCAATTTCGCCCACTTTGCAGATATGATTTTTTCCGACAAATTGTTTGCAAGGTACCTCACCAAACCCTTCACTTCCCAAAATCTGGCAAATGCCAAAGAGAAAGGTAAGCATCCCAATTTCTCTGTTCCTTCTCTCCCGAGGAACTCTGACCACTTCAATCGACGACAAATTTAACCGTTCCACCAAATCAATTACCAACACTATATCACAATCCGTCGACGAAGAATTGGCACGAGCAGCTTCCACAAATGTACGGCGACGAATAAGACAGATTTGAGATGCGACTATGACGGAACTTCGTGGGACGCCGCTGCTGGACTCCGCCTGTCTGAGATTCGAGTGTGCAATGTGCGGTGGTCGACGGCTGATTTGGATTGTGAGAGGTGGACGGCTAATACCGACATAGTATGGGGCGGCGGCGGGAATAGGTAATGGCGGCTGGTATGGTGGTGGAAAACTGAAGGAAGAGAGGAGGATTATTTGCTGGTTCTTGGCCTTCAAGAAGAATTTTTTTGGGTGGGGGTGGGGTGGGTCGATGGGGAAGACGACTCTAATTTTTTTTTTTTACTTATTTTTCAATTGGGTTTTGGGTATTCTATGTTTTTAAGTTAAGGATAATTTTGTCATTTCATTCAAGTCAACAATTAAATCTGATAAAAGGGGCAGTGTGCTACATAAAACCAAACATAAGGGGGTTTTTGCTAATTATTTTATCACGAGGGCTATTATGCCTATTAGAAATAACACAGGGGGGTCTGTGCTATTAGCTCTATATATCAGAATCAAACAAAAAACACAGAGCCATGTTCATAAGCTCCACACACACTTTTGATCTCAAATTCAATTCACCACTCCAATAATGGAGATTGTGGCCTATTTCTCTCCATCCACCACCACCTCCTTCTGCCGCCGCTCCCTTCCACCCCTCCGCCCCTTCAATTCTCTCTCATCCACCTCCGCCAATAAACTCGCTTTCCACCACCACCACCACAAGTTTCCAGTCCTCCGCCCCCGAGAAAACCCCCCAAAAATATCCACCATTACTTCCGCCTCCAACGATGACTCACCCGCCGCCACAGAATCAAAATCTCAGCCACCACCTGCACTTCCGCCTCCGCGAGGAGGAGGCGCCAAACTCATCCCGTTGATATCCTCACTCGCAATCGGCGCCGCCGTCTTCTTCCTCATCCCGCGGCCACCCGAAGTCACGCCTCAAGCGTGGCAATTGCTCTCAATTTTCCTCTCCACCATCGCCGGACTCGTCCTCAGCCCACTCCCCGTCGGCGCGTGGGCGTTCCTCGGCCTCACCGCCACCATCCTCACCAACACCCTCCCGTTCGCCGCCGCCTTCTCCGCCTTCACCAACGAGGTGATTTGGCTGATTGTCATCTCGTTCTTCTTCGCCCGGGGTTTCGTGAAAACAGGGCTCGGCGACAGAATCGCCATGTATTTCGTGAAATGGTTGGGGAAGAGCACCCTAGGGCTGTCGTACGGGCTGACTCTAAGCGAGGCGTTGATTGCTCCGGCGATGCCGAGCACCACCGCCAGGGCCGGCGGCGTTTTCTTGCCTATTATCAAGTCGTTGTCGTTGTCGGCGGGGAGTTGGCCGGAAGATCCCTCAAAGAAAAAACTTGGTTCGTTTTTAGTACAGTGCCAATTTCAGGTTAGTTCTCTATTCTATTCTTCCCCTTTCAAATTAAACATTTCTCTTATGAAAATCATTATTTACAATAGAACCTCCATAAATTAATAACCTCGATTAAATAATAGTTTCTCTCGGTCCCGACTCGGTAAAAACGGGTTAAATTATTAACTCAATAATTTAATAATTCGATAAATTAATAGAATTTCCCTAGACCCAACTGTATTAATTTATTGAGGTTTAAAGAGGTGGAATTTCTGCTCAGCTTAGTTTCGGTTTCGGTTTTAGTTTAATTTTGACATTAATTCTTTGGTCACTGTTATTGGATTCTTCCAATAGTAAAATGTAGGGGTGAAAATCGGATTGAAATTAACAATTTCGAAAAAAAGTTCCATTTTTTTTCTAAAGTGAAAACTAATTCCAATTCCGTCAAGAAAACATGAAAAATCGAGAATCTGAATTTTGGGAATTGGAATGAAAAAACTTGTTACAAAATTGAAAATTTTCAATTGGATTCGGAATTCGGAATTTTCAATCTTTAAACACTTATAATATAAAATAGGACAAAATGCACATCACCTCCTATAAATTTTCCATTTTGGCACCTTCCTCTCTAAACATTCAAAAAAGAGATAAACCCCCCTCGAAATATTGATTTGGTTGCACTTTGCACCGACAGCCAATTTTCGGTGGACATTGTGCAATAAAAATAACATTTTAAAGGGGCAATATGTAGAAAAATAGGTTTTTGAAGGGGCGACGTGCAATACAAATAACATTTTTGAAGGGGCAATGTGCAAAAAACCACTCAATTCCAGTTAATAATCCATTGAAATTTTGCTATTGGGGCAACGTGCAACAAGTATAACATTTTGAGGGGGGCATTCACTTTTTAAAATTTTGAGGGGTAAAGTGCGAAAATTAAAAAATTGTAGGGGGTCACATGGAATTTGCCCTATAAAATATATAAAAATATTGACATTATAAGTGTAATTTTTTAAAATAAATTGGAAAATTTGGAAATTAAAATCGGATCCGAAATCGTAATAGATATATTCCAATTCCAATCCAAAGAAAAAATCGTAATCATAAACATTTTTGCAAAATCAGAAGTATTCGAATCGGAATCGGCGGAATTCGAAAAAAATCCTTTCAAATTTCCAACCCCTCGGAAAATGTTTACTAGGATGCCTATCTGGCTATTTGCTTAAAATATATATGATTAGTGTTTCTTAATTTGTACATTCATCTAATATTGTTTCATATGACTTTGCTATGCAACAGTCTTCTGGTAACTCTAGTGCTCTTTTCCTAACTGCTGCAGCTCAAAACCTGCTATGTCTCAAGCTAGCCGAACAACTCGGTGTCGTTGTTTCCAACCCGTGGGTTTCGTGGTTCAACGCCGCTAGTTTGCCTGCTTTTCTCTCTCTTATAGCTACACCGTTGATATTGTACACTCTCGATCCACCGGAAACCAAAGATACACCGGATGCACCTGCCATGGCTGAAAAGAAGTTGGAGCTTATGGGTCCCATGTCGGAAAACGAATTGGTGATGATCGGTACAATGATTCTTGCGGTCTCTCTCTGGGTTTTCGGGTACGTACAACTTTTTTCGATTTAAGGCCTCGTTTGGTTCCTAAGATAAGATTAGTCGATGAAAATCAAATTTGTATTATGCGACCGTGCGAGGTCTAATAGATAATTTCCTTAACAAGCAAGATATGCCATGATAAAAAAAATAAAAAATCGGGTCGATCCGAAAAATTATTGGGTTTACCAAACATCAAATAAAGTCCAATTGGGCCCGATCTCGATTAAATAGACCGTCCCAATTGCAATACTTTGTGATTAATTAAATATTTCGATCTTTGTTTGATGTTGGTTACTCCAATTATAACTTCTTGGGTCGGTCCAAATATCTTGTTCGACTATACAATTTTGGACCCTATTGCATAATCTTATATTGGCTAATCCTATCCTGACAACCAAACGAGGCTTTAATGAAATAACTAAGAGTGATCAACTTTCTTCAAAATTTACATGTCTAAGCATTAGCCCTTGCTAAAATGTTTGATAACATTGCAATACTTGGTCATTGATTTTCACGTAAGACGATATACAATAGAACCTCGATAAATTAATAACATCGATTAAATAATAGTTTCTCTCGGTCCTGACTCGGTGAAAACATGTTAAATTATTAACTCGATAATTTAATAATTCACTAATTTAATAGAATTTCTTTAGTCTCAACTGTATTAATTTATTGAGATTTAATTGTATATACGTATATATGTATGTGCAGGGACGCACTCGGTATTTCGAGTGTTCTTGCAGCAATGCTTGGATTATCGATACTCTTACTAACGGGGGTGCTAGATTGGGAAGATTGCTTGAGTGAGAAATCGGCATGGGATACTCTGGCTTGGTTTGCCGTTTTAGTAGGCATGTCAAGTCAATTAACCGAGCTTGGCATTGTGAGCTATTTGTCGAACTTTGTGGCCGTAAATTTGCAGTCATTATCGCTGAGCTGGCCCTATGCGTTTGTTGTACTTCAAGGTAGCTATTTCTTGATTCACTATTTGTTCGCGAGCCAAACGGGGCATGTTGGAGCTTTGTACGCTGCTTTTCTTGCTATGCATTTGGCTTCGGGTGTGCCTGCTGAGCTGGCGGCGTTGGCTCTTGCTTATAATACGAGTTTGTTTGGTGCTTTGACGCATTATAGCAGCGGCCAGGCGGCTGTCTATTTCGGAGGTACGACCTCTCATTTTTTCTTTTCTTTTTTTTTCTTTTGGATTATGTGTTAGTGTTGTTAGTGTAGGAAGGAAAATTGGATGAATCGGACCGGAATTAGCAGCGTTGGATAAATTCCAATTTTTTTTGGAAGTGGAAAATCATTTCCAAAAAAACAAAAAAAATCAGAATTTCCAAAATTGAAATGAAAAAAACTTGTTCCAAAATCAGAATTTTTCGAATCTGAATCGGCAGAATTCTGAATGTGCTAATATACGTTAATTATTTACATCTCAATGTGGTGACTCTTTGTTTATAAAAAAAACCATCCACTGATTTGTGACCTTTTTCCGGCGGTTGTGGCGGCAGCCGGTTATGTAGATTTGCCGGACGTTTTCAAATATGGGTTCATCATGGCGCTTGTCAATGCACTAATATGGGGTGTTGTCGGCACGTTTTGGTGGAAGTTTTTGGGGCTGTACTAATTTCGAACTTTCGATGTGACATAATTTTTTGTCTCATGTATATATATACATTAACAGATAAACCTATATAAATTAATACAGTTGGGATTAATAAAAATCTATTAATTCAACAACATGTTAGTTAAGCTATCGAACTAATAGTTTAATACGTCTTGACTTAATCGGGGCCAGGAGAAATTATTATTAAAGTGATGTTATTAATTAATCGAGGTATTAGGTACTAATTGATGGACAAAATGACGCTCTTATCCCTAAGTTATTGAAATATATAATTTGATTATTGTTAAATTAGGCATGTTATTGAAATTTATATTCGATGTCAAATTTTAGCAAGTATAATGTTAGATCTAGTATAACATCAATATTATTTTAACAATAAATTAGAGTAAACACATAAAAATTGAGTCAAGAACATTGAAAACAAACTTATGAAGACATACTAGTAAAAACTAAAATGTAACAATAATCTATATACCACATAAATTTCAACTTGTTAATGTATTCACGTTTCGGATATGTTTTGTGTCCGACACTCGTGGACATCCGACTGACACCTTATGAGTCATTTTGAAATTTCTGAAAAATTAAAAACATGATTGAACAATAAATTTTTAAATATTTTTATTGTTTCCCTAATTATTTACATGACTTACTGATTAATTACAAATTAATAATTGATAATAATATTTATTTTGAATATATATCTATGGAATATATACAAAGAATATTATGCATAAGTAAAAACTTATATATATTTAAATAATATATTTATAAATATACTTCGATACTAATATTTACATATTTATCCCAATTTTCTATATCCCCATTTAGACATATCATTTTTCGTGTCCTTTTTTCCGTATTCCTAAATCGCCACTTCTACATCCGTGCTACATAAATGATAGTTGATAGTATAAAGTTATAAACCAAGGATATTTTACTTACGGAAAATTGAAATCTTTTTTTTTTTCTTTTTCAATTTTCCGTAAGTAAAATATTATTGGTTCATACTATCAACTATTGAAATCTACTTTAACAAATGGGGTTAATTGCAAATTCCACCCTTGTGAAATCTCTAATTGCAAATAACCCTCTGTGAAAAAACAATTCACTCATGCCCCCCTATGTTAACAAAGTCAATGCATTAAGGCCCCTGGAGGCAACTCGTGTCTCTCACTCGCCAATTTTGCGATTATTCAAGCTATTTTTTGGAAGGAAATCGCATAAATAATTAATAAATAAGTTGATTTGGGGAAAAAAATCGATTTTTTTATAGTTATTTTCAGTATTGTTGTAGTTTATTATGAAAAAATAAGCCAGAAAAAGAAGAAAAAAAAAACGAAATTGTAGTTGATTTTCGGAAATAGTTGTTTTCGAATTTTTATAGTTAATTTGAAAACCAGCAAAAAAATAGTTGTTTTCTGGAAAAAAATGCCAAAATAACTGAAAATTAAAATTAAGAAAAATAAAATAAAAAAATCGAAATTATAGTCGATTTCGGAAATATTATAGTTTGTTTTAGAATCTTTATAGTTGATTTCCGATATTTATGTGTATATCTTCCAGAAGGTTATTTTCGGTAATCATTAAAATAGTGAGTTTTCTACTAATATTAAAAATATGGCTAGATCCCTCCTTATTAGGGGTGCAAGTTGGAACGGATTTTCCAATTTCCGCCGGTTCCGATCCGAAAAGTTCCGATTTTGGAATAACTTTTTTCATTCCGACTTCCGAAATTCCGATTTCCGAAATTTTCCGATTTTTTTGGATTGGAATTGGAATTATATAAAATTAATTTGGAATTTCCGATTTCCGATCCGATTTAATTCCGAAATTAATTCCGAAAAATTCTGATTTTTTTTCCGAAAAATACACCTATAAATAGTATATATTATATAATACTTATTTTCCGAAAAATACACCTATAAGTTTTGTTTTAGGAATTTGACATAATGAATTGTTGTTAGAAGTTTTATTGGATATTATGTTGTGTTTATTTTTATTTATTTTTTTGAACTGAAATTTAGTAGTTATTAGTTTTACTTTTATCGACGTGGATGCTCTTATTTTAGAAAATTTCGGCTAAGTTTTGAAATTTTAAAGCTTATGTGATTTCCGATTTTTTTCCGAAATTCCGAAATTTCCGGGCCTTTTGGAATTGGAATGAATTTTTAGATTCCAAAAATTTTGGAATTGGAATTGGAATTGATTTTGTACTTCCGAAATTTTTTGGAAAATTTCCGAAAAGGCTAATTCCGATCCGATCCATCCGACTTTCACCCCTACTCCTTATTAAAAAAACACTAGAGGGGTTATTGCTACTTGTCCCAAAATAAAAAGAAAAAAAAAAAAAAAAACGGCCCCAAAGATATATCAATTATCACCTCATCACACACACATACACTGTACAACTGGTTTTCCCAAACATTTCCAGCCAAAAATCTTGCGTTGTTTCTTCTTCAAATTCTACATTCAAAGCGCCCTTTTAGCTTTCGTCGGAAAGAATGGCTTCCATTAACTTTTCCTGCTCTCCGGCGACCCTTTGTCGCCGTCGGTTAGTCTCTCTTCGCCGATTTTTTTTTTTTTTTTTTGTTGTTGTGATGAAATATGCATCTTTTGATCTTCAATGTGTCGTATAGATGCCCAATTTTGGGGTTTTGAGCTGAATTTCTCGTGGGTTTCTTTTTATTATTTTTCGACTTGTTTCATTTGTGTTTGATGTGTAAAGCTGTGTATTTACAAGAAGAAACTGGGATGGATGCCATTATTGATTTTCCCCTCTCTATCTATATAAATAGGGTAATTTACGCGCTAACGTTAAATTACGAAAAAATCCACCACCCTCCCTCAACTAAGAATCTTCTTACACATCAACCCTTGCGGTGTCAAATTTAGTGGAATCTTCTAGATTACCTGGAATATTTTCCAGTTTGTACCCGTTTTATCCCATTCGAGCTCCACATTTTGAAACAAGATGATCATAAATATTTGTTATATTTATCGTGTATCTATGTTTTCGGTCCGAAATTCGCATGTAGTAAGTTTACTCGTTTTTCGTTTTCGGATGGAATATTCTCGAGTGAAGGTTAAAATGGTAAATTGTTAGCATGCTTTATGTTTTCGTAATCAGACTACTCAAGTCTGTTTAATAGCACATACCATTACGGTTAATGGTTAGTTATATTGCATTCAGACAGTTCAACGGGGTCAACTGCGGAAGTATCTATTCGTTGAATGGTGTGGAGTCCTTCAAGCAACCGAGTCCGAAAATGGGCTTAAACGTCAAAGCGAGTTCGAAAATCAAATCGGCACTCTTCTCTGCCGTAGGCGATCTCATTAACGATGTGCCGGTGCAATCTAATTCCGTAATATTAGGAGCACTCTCCGCTGACGTGGCACCAACTACAAGTGGATTCCCCGTCGAAAACGACGAATACGATTTGGACCTTCCGTCAGCAGGTTTCTCGTCTATTGAAGAAGCCATTGAAGACATTCGAAACGGAAAGGTTGATCTCGTAATATTTATGTTGCATAATTAATTAAAATATTTTTTATTTACTTAGAAATATTTTATTCGAAAATTGCAGATGGTGGTGGTTGTGGATGACGAGGATAGAGAGAACGAAGGAGATTTAATAATGGCTGCTTCGAAAGTTACACCCGAGGCTATGGCTTTCTTTGTGAAATACGGAACGGGAATCGTTTGTGTGAGCATGAAATCGGAAGATTTGGAGAGGTTACAGCTTCCTCTTATGGTGAGCCATAAAGAAAACGAGGAGAAGCTTTCTACTGCATTCACTGTTTCAGTGGTGAGTTAGTTACTTCTATTGAAATACGCTCTTTCGTTCTCGCGTCTTGCTCTGGGATCGTATTTTGTCGAGTTGCTTATTATTTGATTTTATGTAATAGCTCCAACATATTCTTTAGGATTGATGTCAAAACGTAATTTCTGACAAGCACAAACATACATGTATAAATTATGGCTAAATTACCGAATTCTGCCGATTCTGATCAGAATATTTCCGATTTTTTAGAAATATTTTTTATTTTGAATTCTGAAAGTACCTATTTTTGATTTTTTTTTCTATTTTTTTGGAATGGAATTGGAATTCATATTAGATTCTGAATTCCAGTTCAATTTAATTCCTGAAAATTACACTTGAAATATCATTTTAGTATGTATTTTGTAGTATAGGTGACTAAAAAAATGGGAATTCCACATTCCGCCGACTGCGTCCGAAATTTTTCAATTTTTGAACCATGTTTTCATTCCAATTTTCGAAATTTCCAAATTTTCTGATAATATTTGGACAAAATAGAAATTAGTTCTTCACTTTCGAAAAAAAAAGGTGGAATTTTTCCGATCGGATTGGAAAATGATGTCAAGTCTAATTTTATTAGAGTGATTAAATCACCTTGTGCTGAACAATTTCTTTCGAAGTAATATAGCTACGCTCATTTTTCTGTTCAAAAAGAAAAAAACAAGGTCGGAATGTAAAAATCTCTTGAGGTATAAAAAGGAATGACATCATTATAGGACGCAAAACACGGTACAAGTACGGGTGTGTCAGCACGAGACAGGGCAACAACGATAAAAGCACTTGCATCGAAAGATTCAAATCCCGAAGATTTCAACCGACCGGGCCACATATTTCCTCTAAAGTACAGAGAAGGCGGTGTTCTTAAAAGAGCGGGCCATACCGAAGCTGCGGTGGATCTTGCCATACTGGCAGGATTGGAACCTTCCGGAGTTTTATGCGAGATTGTTGATGACGACGGTTCGATGGCTCGATTACCGAGGCTTCGGCAATTTGTGAAGCAAGAGAACTTGAAGATTATATCTATTGCTGATTTAATAAGGTAGTTTTATTACGCTACCTTTTTTTGCAAATGTATTTTTTTGTCTACATTTCTTAAGCAGTGTTCGTTTTATTCTCGTTAATGCCTCGTTTGGTTGAGGAGATTAGCCGTGAATAACTAAATAATTGGACTTTGTTTTACGTTTGGTAAACCCGATAATCTTTCGGGTCGATCCTGAAATATTTTTCATCATGGCCTATGTGGCTTTTAGGGATAATATTTATTAGACGGTCTAATAATACAATTGGATTTTCATTATTTTAACTTAGGAACCAAACGAGCCCTAAGCAGATATTTCTTGGATTAGCTCACTTTTGTAATGAGAAAACTTTGTACAATTACTTATTCTTTTTCCGCATGGCCGCATCGAGCCTTAACTAGGCGAAGAAGCTACAAAATTTCCGTACTTGAAATCTCCATATTTTATTTGCGAAATTTTGTTTGTGATCTTGCAGATATATGAGAAAGAGCAATAGATTAGTAGACCAAGCGTCGGCGGCTCGTATACCAACTATGTGGGGCCCATTCACCGCATATTGTTATAGGTCAATTCTTGATGGAATCGAGCATATTGCAATGGTTAAGGTGAGAATTTTGTAAAATTTGGTATAATCCAACTTTGTTTTTTTTAATTGAGTTTATTGCATTTAGTATCCGTGTATTATATCGAATTGCTAAAAAATCCGTTTTATATAAATATTAGCAAAACCCCCCTCATAATGCATGTTTTGAAGTACAAAAATCCCTAAAAATTGAGTTTTTAGAGGGTAGTTTGCTAAAATCAAAAGAACATAAGGGGTTTCTTGTTAATAAAATAACATCGGAATTTTTTTTTTTGACAATTAGAGAAAATATAGGGGTACCGAATGCAATAAATATTTTTTTCTTTCTATATTTTATGCTTCTTTCTTATTTCAGACGACTTTCATAGGCCATTTTGACGTAATATAATTATTTCAAAAAAACAAAAAAAATTACATCCGGTATTTATTTTTCGTGTGATGAACAGGGTGACATTGGGGATGGACTCGATATTCTTGTGAGAGTGCACTCGGAATGTCTGACGGGAGATATATTTGGATCAGCCAGATGCGACTGTGGGACCCAGCTGGCGCTCGCAATGCAGCAGATCGAGGGTGCAGGGAGGGGTGTTTTGGTGTACTTGCGTGGTCACGAGGGGAGAGGAATCGGTTTGGGCCATAAACTGCGTGCGTACAATCTGCAAGATGATGGGCGCGATACTGTTGAGGCGAACGAGGAGCTGGGTTTGCCCGTTGATTCGAGGGAGTACGGGATTGGTGCACTGGTTATTTGCATGGTCCTGCGTTTACTAGATTATTCCTCCATAAGGACTTGTTTGCTTGATCACTTATTATACTAGTTTTGGTGGGTTCTGTTGATATGGTTTAGATCGTCTTTTGGGCAACTAACTGCTGTACTTTCGAGTGCTGTTAGGATTTAGGCCCCGTTTGGTTGGCAAAGATAAGCAATGATTATTTAATTATGATTGTGTAAAATTGTTTTTTCAGATACTGAGAGATCTTGGTGTAAGAACAATGAAGTTGCTGACGAACAATCCTGCAAAGTATATCGGGCTCAAGGGTTACGGTTTGGCTGTTGCCGGGCGGGTCCCACTCGTGACGCCCATTACGAAGGACAATAAGAAATATTTGGAGACTAAGCGTTCGAAGATGGGCCACGTTTATGGATCCGAAGTCAACGAGGATGAGAATGGTCGACGGAGTGGTGAGTCGAGTTAACTCAGAAGTGATTTGAGAGTTTGAAGATGATTAAGCTTGTAAGATGTGGTGCTTAAGTTGTAGGTATCCTTCAATTTTTTGAATTTTGATGGATATAATAATAAGATTGAAAATTAGAGTTTTTTATTCAATTTAACAAAATCTTCATTTGATATGAAACTATAATAGAACATCGATAAATTAATAACCTCGCTTAAATAATAATTTTATGGAGCGACTCGGTAACAACGTATTAAATTATTAGTTCGATAATTTAATATTTTATTAAATTACTAGAATTTTACTAGTCTCAACTGCATTAATTTATAAAGGTTTAACTGTAGTGAGTATGTTGATTGCTATTAGTCGCATATCTTTAATAGCTTGGCGACCACTATTGTAATCGTAAATACTATAGGTGAAAATCGGACGGATCATGATTGGAATTAATACGCTTGGAAAGATAGAAATAGTTTTTTTTTTTCAGTTTGAAAATTGAAAAACTAATTTCAATTCCGTTCAAAAAATAATTTTAAAATATTGAAAACTGGAAATTTGAAAATTAAAATGAAAAAGACTTGGTTCGAAAAAAAGAAGAAAAAATCGGAAATTGTGGAGCTCGATTTCGTTTTTCACACACACGCACATGTATATATATATATATATATATATATATATATATATATATATATATATATATATATATATATATATATATTACAAAATGTATGATGATATTTTACGGAGTATTTCGGGATCATTTTCAAGAATTAAAATCGGATCTTAAAAGGGAGTTCCATATTATAATTTCTAATTCTAATGAAATAAAAAGTAAGAAAATTGAAAATTGAATTATTTGGAATAAAGAAAAGGGTAAAGTTCATTTTACCTACCTGAACTATACCCAACGTATAAAATACCCCCCTGAACTTCGAAATGAACCGAATCAGCCCCTCTGTTAAAATTCCGTCCATACTTGCTGACATGGCACTTTGACCTTTTGAATTATATTTGCTGGCATCATAGTTGGCTTTTTTCAGACGATTTTACCCCTCCAGTGCACTTTTATTTATAATTGCTAATTAGAGGGGTTTTAGCCCAATTTTAATTTTGCAATTTCTCACAAATTTAAATTTTTTTTCTCATCATGACAATTAATTCTTTACTGCAATTTAAATTTCGATAAAAAATTTGTCACGTGTCTATTTCAAATTTCATAAACCAGTTAATACAATTAAATGGTTGCCTTTTATTTTTCATCAAATAATTAAAATAAACTGTTGAATAAAAATAGTTAATTTTTATTTTAAATTGAAAATTTAATTTTAAAATTAAAGTAATCCAATTAAATGGGAAAAAAATAATTAAAAAGAAGGCCCATCTTCCCAACGTCATCTCCTCCGCCGGATACCCCATATCACGGTGATTCGAACATTCATCTGCATCAAAGAAATTTTAGCAGAAAAACCACTATGAAGTAACCCATCATCACTCCCTAATTCGATTTTTTTCAAGATTTCAATTCCTCGAGGACAAACGCCAATGAGAAACAAACTCGGAGGGAAACCAAACAGAACCCAATACAAGGTCCCAAAGTCGAAAATTGGGGCACACAAGAAAGGGGCTGATGTTTTAGCCGGATTCCGCCGAGATCTGGGCCGGAGCTACGGTGGTTTCGCAACAATGAGTTCGAATTTCTTATGGGTTTCATCTTTCCGGCCGTTGCTGCTGACTGTTTCATCTTCTACGGTGTGCGTGAGGGAGAAGAAAGAAAGGGGTGAGGGAGAAATAATAATGGATGGGCAAAAATGTAAAAACACTTAAAAATTAACGGAGTTAAATATTTAACGTTGACTCAAAATTCGGAGGGGCTGATTCGGTTCATTTTGTAGTTCAGGGGGGTATTTTATACGTTGGGTATAGTTCAGGTAGGTAAAATGAACTTTACCCTAAAGAAAATGTTCTAAAATTCAATTCCAATTTCCATGGCAAGAAGGTAAATAAATACGCGTTAAGTGTGTAATTCAAACTAAACCTGCTAAGGAAGTGTTGATTCATACGCGCTTGTACAGCTTATTATACTATTCTAAAGTCTAGGACCGTGTTTTCCACCGCCAACAAATTGACGCGCCAAATCTCACTCTATAAATACCGCATCACAACAATCACAACCAACATCGACCCCTCTCTCTCTCTCTAGCTTTTAACTTTCTCTCTCTAACTCTTTCCAAGTACTATATAAACGCATTTATTAATATAATGACAGCTTCTAAGGCTCTTTTACTCGTTATTATGGTGGCCTGTATCTTGAGTGCCTCGGTGGCGCAGTCTCCCTCCGCCGCACCATCGCCATCCCCCACCGCCGCCGCCGCAAGCCCTAGCTTTGCTCCGACTTATAAGTCCACTCCACCGGCTTCATCTCCTTCTCCCGTCGCCGTCGTCAACTCGCTGCCGCCGACTACTCCATCTCCTTCTGCCGGCTTGCCTCCTTCGCCCAGCTTCGCGCCACAGCCATCGGCAAACGGCGCCGTTGCTAACGGATTAGGTTTCGCGGCGGCTGCAGCCGGTTTCTTTACCGTCGCTTTCATGGCGTGAACGCTCTCTTAATTTCTCTACACGTGTCTTTTTCACGCTTTGATCCCTTTTTAATTTTTTATTTTAAATAATAATTTAATTTCATTGTAGAGAGAGATTGATACCGAATATTCTTTTATATATACATGTATTATTAACTAATATATTTTATTTATCTTGTACTTCTCTTGTGATTATTATTTATTAAACATAACTAGACCATTTTCTTTTAATTGACTTTATCTTGTTTGTTTGCATACTTATAGCTTTTAATCAAAGCATATCAAGGACATTAATCTAAATTCAATTACATATTACAATAGAAGTATACGAGAGCGTAAGTTTACCTAATATTTATACAAACTCTGAGACGTCCATTTTAAATGAATGACACGTTTTTAATGGATAATATGAAATCTCATTAAGATAATAATAATAATAATAATAATTTTGATCACACATTTAATATGAAATCTCATTAAGACACATTTTACAAGCTCTGAACAATGTTTAATTTGTTTAATTTCCTCGTATTGTCCCAAAAATAAAATCACACATGGCAGAAAACAACACATTAAATTAAATATTTACTAAAAAAGAAAAAGAAAAGAATTAATAAATTTCCTCCCACAAAAAAAGGGAAATAGTTTATAGTGAAACAAAACAAGATCTCCACCGTTGATATCAATTGGCAAGGCGCGTGGTCAACCGCCAGATCTGAATAGCTTCGCGCGAAAGGAAAAATCGAAGCGGCGGTTTGTTAGAGGTCACGTGCGTAGAGAGACTATACATACAGTAGAATCTGTACGTATATTTATTTGTGTGTGCGTGTGTGTATATATAAGTAGCAGAGCAATCAAGCAGGTTCGTTGGACCAATTTCCCCTTTTTCTTCAACAGAGAAGTCTCCTTCGTTTACTCAATTCTCTCTCTCTCTCTCTCTAACTTATTTCTCTCTCTAAATCTCTTCTTTAATTAATGGCATTAAACGGTGGATAAAGCTTGCCGTATCGTACTCGATTGCGCCATTGTGGTTATGTTCTTTCGATTAATTACAGATTTCTTTTGGTGTGGGGTTTAGTTCATATTTTTGCTAGGGTTTGTATCGGTGCATTGATTCGCCATTTTAGTTAGGTTTTTAGGGTTGATCGGAACACATTTGCTAGAAATTGCAGTTCTTTTCTGAAATTCGGTTGATTAGTTAAATTTCACTGGCAATGGGTTGTTGATTTTTCATTTAACTGGAAATCGGTTGTTGATTTACTCTTACAGGCAGGTGGAAAAATAGGGGATTAGGAATTTTCTTGGACTAATTGGTTTCTCGATTTCGGTTTATTAGGTTGTTGTGCCCTATGATTTCGAAAAATCGAGAAGGATCGTACTTTTAAAGTATCCGATGGAGTGTTTGAGTAAGAAAAGAAAAGGATTCGAGATTTCGGAAGCCTATAAAAAAGACAACGATGAACAAACCCGACTATCGATCCCTTTTTCGCATTTATCGTTAGAAGATTTCTCAAGAAGGAAAAAGAAATGCAAGGAAGGAACAGTTTCGAAAACCGTCGATTCGAGTACGAGTGTTGTCACCGGTGCTGCCACCGCCCCAGCGTGTGGGACCGCCCGTTTGGAATCTCCGAATAGAGGTCTTAAAAGAAAAATCGGCTGCATCGACACCGCAACTAGATTAGGCCGAAAGAAGAAAATCGATCAAGAATACGATTTGTCCGGAACTTTAGGCCAAGGGAAATTCGGTTCGGTGGTGTTGTGCACGAGCAAGTCGACCGGAGAGGAGTTTGCGTGCAAGACTTTGCGTAAAGGGGATGGAATTGTTCATAGGGAAGTTGAAATAATGCAGCATTTATCGGGGCATAGAGGTGTTGTGACATTGAAGGCGGTATATGAGGATATTGAATCTTTTCATTTAGTGATGGAACTTTGCTCTGGTGGAAGATTGCTCGATCAAATGGCGAAGGAAGGGTTATATACTGAGAAGAAGGCCGCTTGCGTAATTAAGGAGTTGATGCTTGCGATTCGGTACTGTCATGAGATGGGCGTTGTTCATAGGGATGTAAAGCCGGAGAATATTCTTCTTACTGCCTCGGGGCAAATGAAGCTTGCGGATTTCGGATTGGCTGTGAGGATTTTAGATGGTAATACATTTCATTTTTCGTAATGTTCGCTTTGGTTATTATCTCCGTAAATTTCTGTGACCGGAGAAAAAATAATGATGAAATGATGATTTCAGTTTCATCGGTTTTTCGGAATAACAAATTGGAAGTATGTTTTTTTTTTTTTTTTTTCGTTTTTGTCAAACTATAATGATTTTTGTGAGATGAAATAATTTGTTGGAGGGTTTGATTTTCAGTCTTAAATCATTGAGCCGAGTGAATCTTTTTTCTGGTGAATCGAGACTTGTACCTTAGTTTTATTTACGATGTACAGGTCAGACCCTGACTGGTATTGTTGGAAGTCCTGCTTATGTTGCTCCTGAAGTTTTGGTCGGTAATTACTCGGAGAAGGTCGATATTTGGAGTGCTGGTGTCCTTCTCCATGCACTT